ATCTGGAGGTAAGAGTTCTCCCAGTAGGAAACTGGGATGGTGCTCTGAGGGGCTCAGAGAGGTCAATACACTGCTCTAAGGACATACAGCTTCCTGGGAAGAGTGAGATTTGAACTGGAGCTGGCCCGGGGGAACTGGCCAGGAATGTGTGATGGCCACACTGTGAGCATGCTGGCAACAGCTGAAGTCCATGGCCTGTGGGGGGGACAGTCACCTCTCGCTGTGGTCCCACCACATCATTTCCTTTTGGGGTGATCTTGAACACACACTGTCCTGTCCTCTCTGGCCTGGTTCTTTGTTTATGACATGGGTGTTAGGCCAACCCACTTCTCAATCAGGAACCTGCCAGCTCCACAGATACATTAACTCCTAACACTGGGCCCAGGGGCAGACATCCCCAGAGACCCTCATGCTCAGCACCAGGACCCCCCAGAGACTGGGCTGGTCTGTGGGGACTCCGACCCGTGGACAGAGGTAATGTTGCAACACCCAGGGACCCTGAGCCCTTAGCCAGGACCACACCCAATTTTTAACATCAAAATTGATAAAATTCTGATTAGTCACCGAAAGATGCAGTTCCAGAATCGTCCACACGGGGGTGGTGGCTCCCCAGAATTGGCTGCTGCCCACGCCAAGGCTGGGAGGGAGGTGACGTCATGTCCGGGTTTGGAGAGGTCAGGCTCCACTTCAGACTGACCTAGCATGGATCAGTAGGCTAGGTCAGGGGTGATGAAGAGACTGCAGTAGGTGGTTTCTAGTGGGACATTTTGAGCTGTGCAGAGTGCTGATCTGAGACCCCGCCTCTACCCCGTTCATTCCTGGAGCACCCCCAGTATGACTGCTATGTTCTGGGGTCTACACTGAGGGTTGGCCCAACCTCTACCCTGACCACGCCCCCATCTCCTCACGGGGGGATTCTAGGCGGGGCTCCACCGTGACCACGCCCCTAGCCCCTCTCACTGGGGGATTCTAGTCAGGGACCTGACCATGCCCTCAACTTCTCCTTTGGGGATGGGGGGGGGTTATGAAAAAGGCTGTAACCTATTACAGAGGAGTTTTTGTTTTCACCATTATTCATTACCACAGTTCCTGAGATAGGGTCACATGTATCTCTGGCTGACCCCCAACTCACCATGTAACTGAAGATGGCCTTGAACTACTGACCTACCTCCCAGTAACAAGTGTGTGCCACACCTGATTTATTTTGCTAAGAATGGAACCCAGGAACTCCAGTATGCTGGGCAGGCAGGCCCTTCCATCTGCTGATGTGCCTGGTGGTTGGCATTGTAATCGCCCCTCCTGCTGGGGATGGGGGTGGGCCGGAGCCCCGCCTGGCTCAGAACTGTCACCACAATACACTGGAGGCAGAGGCAGGAGGATCACTGTGTGCTCCAGGCCAGCCTGGACTACATAATGAGATCTCGACTTAAGATGTTTTTTTAAAACTGGGCTGGTGACATGGCTCAGTGGTTAAGAGCACTGATTGCTCTTCCAGAGGATCGGGGTTCAATCCTCAGCACCCACATAGCAGCTCACACCTGTCTGTAACTCCAGTTCCAGGGGACTGGACACTCTCACATAGACACATGCGCAGGCAAAACACCAATGCACGTAAATAAAAATAAATTACTTTAAAAAAAGCAAATCAGTTTATTAAAAATATGTTTTTAAAATAAAGATTAAAGGAGAAATGAAGCTGTTTTAATTCAGGCAGGGCAGGGTAAGCCGGTCCCCAGGGCTCTGAGGGGACAGCCCTGTGTATTACACGAGGCAGAGGTGGCACTGCAGGGACACCATACTTAAGGCTGGGTGTGGGGAGCAATCCCCAGGCTGTGCAAAGGCCCTGGGTCCCCACCCAGTGCCCTGTGAGCTCCACCAGCCCTCCTCACCTTGTCTGGGCTGGGAGGCAGGGAACAACCTTGTCCTGGCCTTGTCCCCAGCCCACGTGGGTCCCATAAATCCTCTATCCCGGGTCCAAGGTCAGTGCTGGGAGCAGGCAGCAGTGGCCCAGGTGTGGCAGCCTGGACTTTGGCTCTGGGGCCTCAGATCAGGTAGTGCCAGTCCCTTGCCTCTGCTCAGGTCTCAGTTTCCCTCAGTGCGCTTGATTTCAAGACCCAGGCTCACTAAGGCCCCAGGGTGACTCCTGGTCTCTCTTGCTAGTCCTGTCACCCTCCTGCCTCAGCCTCCCAGTTGCTGAGATGACAGGCCTGCACCATTCTTTTGCATTCTTTATTTATTTGGTTGTTTTTTGATACAAGTTTCTCTGTGTAGCCCAGGCTGGCCTCTACTCACAGAGATCGTCCTGCTTCAGCCTCCTGAGTGCTGGGATTAAGGACCAGAGCCATCACACATGGTGCCTTTTGGATTCCTTACCAGCCTTGGGGGCACACACACACACACACACACACACACACACACACACGAATGGGGGGGCTCAGGGTGTCACCATCATAGTGTTAGTCTGGTTCCCACTCCTAAAAGATTCCAAGGGACTGAGCACAGGCATGAAGGCACATTTGCCAGCCCACCTGCTGGAGGCTGGGGCAGGAGGCTGTGAGTTCTGGGTTACAGAGCCTCAGTCAGTTCATTTGTGTGTCCATCCCCTCCCCCCCCCAGTGGCACACACACACACACACACACACACACACACACACACACACACACGGCTGCCAGTGTGCTCGACCATTTGCAGCCACAGGCCACTCAGTGCCCACTGTGTTGCCCTGGGTCGGGGCGTCTCGGTTGGTCAGTAACCAAAGGAGCCAGAGATCAAAGTCAGAACCCCAGGAGCTGGAGTCACTTGGTAGTAACCATGAGGTGCTGGGATGGAACCCTGGTCCTCTGCAGGGGCAGCTGGTGCTCTAACTGCTGATCATCTCTCCCCCTCCACCTCAGGTCTGGTCTTTTTCATTTGCCCCGTTGCCCAGGTTGACTTCAAAGTACTAATCCTCCTGTGCCCTATCTGGAGTGGTGTCCACCATATGCCCCTGTGAGAAAGAAGTAATACCATGGGGCTCAGTGGTTAACATACCGACTGCTCCTGCAGAGGACCAGGGTTTGGTTCCTACCACCACAAGGTGATCACAACCTATGACTCCAGTTCTAGGGGCCCAATGCCCTCACACGGACATGAATGCAGGCAAAACACCAATGCACATAAAATAAAAATAAATTAAGAAGCTGAGCAGCGGTGGTGCACACCTTTAATCCCAGCACTCAGGAAGCAGAGGCAGTGGGATCTCTGTGAGTTCGAGGCCAGCCTGGGCTACACAATAAGACCATGTCTGGTAATGGAAGGGAGAAAAGGGAGCCGTGTATACACACAAAGATAAACGTGACAAGGCATGATGGTGATGGTGATGCCTGTCACGGAGCATTCAGGGTGCCCAGGCTGAGCAGCTGCACCTGTGAGCTGCAAGTCCAACTTAGACCTCCCAGAGCCTCTTGTTAGGCTGTGAACACTTGGGGTGGGGACTGGGCCAGACAGAGAGTTTCAGGGAGTAATCTCCTCACACCCCCAATCAGCTAGTAAATGGGGACTTTGACCCTTCCCTGCCCCTTATCTCAAGGTTGGGATCAGCATCCCTGGCCAGGGACAGACGGGGAGCAGCCCCCTCCCTGCTCTTGCAGGCGACTTCGAACCCCAGAGAGCATCTGACTTTCAAGGTCTTGTTTTTTTTTTTTTTTTTTTTTTTTTTTTGGAGGGGGAAATGGGGGTTGAGACAGGGTTTCTCTGTGTAGCTTTGGAGCCTGTCCTGGAACTCACTCTGTAGACCAGGCTGGCCTCGAACTCACAGAGATCTGCCTGCCTCTGCCTCCTGAGTGCTGGAGCTAAAGGTGTGCACCACAAATGGCTGGCTCTTGGTCTTTTTTTTACTAACATCCCAAATGCACTAATTGAGCGCTGACTGTATACTCAGCATCTCTTCTGGAAGGAGAACACTTCTCAGGTTTGTGAGTTAGTCCATGCTTAGGGGAGTCAGACTGGCTCCACCCCAGAGTAGGGACACCATAAGTCAGTGCTTGGAACACAGTAGGCAGACTGTTAGTGTTTATTCCTCATCTGGCATTTCGCAGGTATGATGCTAATGCCTGGTTAACAGTATAATACATCAGTGCCTAGTATACAGCAGGCACAGCATCCGGCTTGGTATACATTAAATATTGGAAAACACTGAGCTCATGTACTGTCTTGCAAGTGGCAGTTATGTGTTCCCTTAATGCCTGGCATACAGTAGGTGTGACATCAATGCCTGAACTACAGCAGGCTCTGCCAGATAAATGCATACTCTACAGGAAGCACTCGGTTCATACTTGTGCCCTGTCTGGTACTTAGAGGCTGCGGCCAGGAATGTACTGCATAAACCAGAGCGTGCATTTCTGAGCGCCGCTGGGCGTTGATGGCGCACGCTGTTAGTCCCAGCACTCGGGAGGTAGAGGCAGGAGGGTATCTGTGAATCAGAGGTCAGCCTCATCTACAAGAGCGGCACACAGTAGGCCTGCTTAAGAATGGACGAGCGAGTCAGGCCAGGGCGTTTCCGCACATCCGCAAGGCGGTGATAGCCGCTGAGGGAGCTCGGGCCAGATACGAACTTGGTTGGGCCTTTCTCTTCGGGCTCGTGCTCCTGAGAGGAGCCGAGCACAACCGAGTGTAGTGGAGCGGCGTCTCCCCGAGGCGAGCCGAGAGAAGCCGAGTGCAGCCGAGCAGCACCTCCCTGAGTCGAGAGGAGCCGAGTGCAGCCGAGCGGAGCCGAGCGGGTTCCTTTCCAGAGAAACCGAGCTCGGGCTGGAGCGTCTTCCCCATTCCCACAATCCTCGGCGTCCGCGCCCAGCTGCAGACTGCTCAAACCCTTCCCACGTCGACGCAACCACATGCGCGCCTGCGCTGCGCCCTCCAGACCCCGCCCTCGAGAGGCAAGGCCTCGCCCCTAGCCCGTCCTCAAGCTCCATCCCTGCGGCGCGCGCGCAGCCGTGCGGCCCCTCCCATTGGCCGCGCCGCCTGCCCGTCGCGGGGCCAGTGGCAGCGCTTCAGGTCGTCGGGCGCCGGCGCTCGGTGGCGGCGGCTGCGGGTGGCGGCGGCGGCGGCTGCGCTGCGCGGCGCGGGCAGCGGACGCGCCTCTGGGGCCGGGCCAGGCCTTGGGCACCGGGCCGAGGTAGGGCCGGGCCGGCGGCGGCCGGGGGACCGCGACGATGACTCTGGAGTCCATGATGGCGTGTTGCCTGAGCGACGAGGTGAAGGAGTCGAAGCGCATCAACGCGGAGATCGAGAAGCAACTGCGGCGGGATAAGCGAGACGCCCGGCGCGAGCTCAAGCTGCTGCTGCTTGGTGAGCCGGGTCCCCGAGCCGTGGAACCTCTGTCACGGGGGCCGGGTGGGTGACCGGGGCATCCGGGCCCTGCCTGGGGTCCCCGCGCGCGCAGGGGGCCCGCACCGGCCGGGGTCTCCGGTCTCGGTTGATCTTACAGGGCCAACAGCGCTAGGTGACAGCCCCGCGCGACCCCCCTAGCCCGCTGCCCACAGCCGGCCGGGCCACCCCGGGTGTCCTCGGAGCAACTGGTCAGCGCTGCCCTGCAGTGGTCATCCCTTCCGGGATCGCTGCACCCTGCGCTGTGCAGGTGGCCTGGGCCTGCGATGGCCAGCCTCCGCTGTGCAGTCCCTTGCGCTCAGCCTGTGCGACCGTTTTGTGGCCAGCCTGCCTGTTGCCCAGACTTCAGATTCCCTGGTGGTCAGCCTCCTGCCTCTGATATCTGCATCTCCTGCCCACGTCGGTCCCCGGGACACTTGGGGACTTGCTTTCTGTCTCTCCTGAGAATTCGTGCACAGAGCTGACCCCTGGCCCTGCCGCACCAGTCTGCTCTCCCCTCTCCCCATATAGCTTCAGGGTGAGCCCTGAAGGCTGCTTAGGATAGTTCCCACCTGGTTGCACCCTCTTTTCTGCCGCCACGGATTATACCCTCAAAAGGTCCTGCTTTGCTCCAGACTGGTTCCTTTCATGGCTACTCCCCTGCCTCCATCCCTGTTCTGTAGATCTCTGAATTCCTCCACATTGGAGCTGGGTGCAGGAGAGTGGGTGGCTTTTCTTCTTTGGGCTTCTTCTGCAACCGAGCCGGTGGGTTGTCACAACAGTCAGCCTGCAGCCTCCCTGCCCCTGCCCTGTTACTCTGGGGTCCAGTCTTGTCCTCTCCTCACCCCATCCACCCCAGAGAAGCTCGACGTGTGTCTCCCACTCACTGGGCTTCCGACTCCTCAAGGCCCACCTGTTGCTGGGAGCCAGGGAGCCCAGGTCCAGCTGTCTTGTTGTCACCCCAAATAAGGGCCCAAAATGAGGGCAGGGTGGCCTGGGCCCTGCAGAGGTTTACAAAACAGACTAAGGAGCCCCTACCTGCTTCTCCCAGCTCCCGGGTGAGCTGCAGTCCAGGAATGGAGGCCCAGGGCCGAAGGTGGCCTTGGAGGACCTGAGGAAGGGACTGTCTGCAGCCTTTGAGAGTAGGAGGAGTTGGGGACAGTGCTGCTGGCATTGTCACGTGAGAGGGGACAGGTGTGTGGGGGCAACGCAGACTCTCCTGTTGCTGTTGTTGTGTGGTTCCCTCCGGCAGGCTGGAATTCCTTCAAAGCTGCCTCCCAGGAAGGGAAGGGTGAGGACAGAGGAGCTCAGGGGGAGCAGCAGTGGCCCCAGGGTGGCAGTTTGGGGGACACAGTGTGGGGCTTGCTGACCTCTGCAGAAGGTCAACAGCATTCTCTTGGGGACAGTGGTAAGCTGCCTGATAAGGATGACACCAGGTGACTGACCCCAGTAGTGTGCTGTCCCCATAGCTCCTTGACCCTCTGTACTGTGTGGCCTGGCTGAACTGGCTGGCAGCTGAGGGGTTTCACGTTGACCTGCACATGGTACCATGCCTCCATCCTATGAACTTTTGTTCTTGGTACCCCAGTGTCCTCCAGGGCAGATGCAGTCACACCCTTTCCACAGAAGGGTCCTGTGCTTCTGATGGTGTTTGAGGGTTGGTGTACAGGAACAGAAGTGTAAGAGAGATTTTGTTCTTGAATAGGACAGGTGTAGACATTGGGCACTTACTGCTCAGGGCCTTGCTGGGAGGGCTTTCCAGAGGAGGTGGCTGTGACCTTGCTCTGGGGCTCTGGGGAGGTCCGTGGTGCTCAGAAAAGTGGCGATCCTAGCAGCCTTTGATCCCAGACAGTGGAGGGGTTTCTGTGACCAAGGTGCAGAGAAAGTCTGCAGTGGGACCGGCTGCACCCCGCCACTTGCAGCTGTGGTAATACATTGTCCCTCATTTCATAGCAGCCTTCTGGAAGGAGGAGACCATGTGGCCCTACTGCCAGGGTCTGACTGGGGTGGAAACAGGCCAGGGACTACTGTCCTAGAACCCTGACTCCGGAGCAGGCAGGGTCTCTTTGGGAAGAGCTATGTCTGCAGGATTCTGGCCTCTTCCTCTAGGCTTGAAGCTACTGCCTTCATCCTGTGCCTACACCTGTGGGGAATGGTCTGGGAACAGGTTTTGTCCACTGGTGTGTCCCATTCCATCCTGCTGAGTCCCCATGTGGCCTGGGGAGATTGTTCAGCCAGGCAAAGAGGTGACTGTCTTGTTCTTAGGGTGGGCACTGCAAGGTAGTGAGATACATACATCCCTAGCCATCACTCACTGTCCCATGCTTAGATTCCCCCCTCCAGCCACACACGCACGCACACACACACTCACACTCACACACACACACACACAACCCCTACGTCATGCATGGTGGTGTCTGGTGTAAACTAACAACTGGTAAAACTCACTGGTGAGCAGAGAAAGTTCTCCAGATTGACGCCACACGACTGACTAGATGCACCTTCCCTTCCCGCCGCGGGGTGACACACTCCTGGTTTGTCCTGCTGGTGACCAGTGATGTGCGTGGGAGCACCCACTTCCACTCGCGTTGCCGCTGTCCTGAGGTCCCTGTGATCTCAGACTCCGCAGAGCCTTGGGGCCTCTGCTTCCCTGTGTAGCTCCAGGCTGGGGCAGAGCAGTGCTGCCCCTAGGGAGCCCTCCCAGAACTCTAGCTTGGAAGTCCCTGTCCCTGAGGCCGGGCAGGGCTGGGCCCAGCTTTCTAAATAAAGCAGGCGGTTGGCTCCCAGCTTCCTGTCCCAAGTTGAGCCGGGCTGGGCGGCCAAAGGCCGGGGATCCATCCGGCGGGGGTGGCCCAAGGGTTGGGCTGGCCTCCCGCCCTGAGAAGGAGGCCTCAGCTGGCTCCCTACTTGTTGCTCCTGTCCTAAGACCCTGGTGGCTTCAGGCCTCTCCCCAAGAGGACAGGGATATGCCCCCCTCCCCGCCACGGGGGGGGGGGGATATCCTTGAACAGATTCCCAGCTAGACATACTTCATCCTCTGCATACTCCATCCCCTGTACCACACAAACCAGGTGTGGAAGATGAAGGCAGGATCAGGAGTTCAAGGTCATCTCAGGCTACATAGGGAGGTGGAGGGCTACATGAGACCCTGTCTCCAAAAGAGGGGACAGGTTGTATCCCTAAGGATTTGGGCTGCCTACAAGTTCAGTGGTGTCCCCACTTTGTGGTGACGCCTGTCCTGGGTCAGAGGTGACCGGCTCAGCCCTGTGCCAGTATTTCCCTGACACTGTTTGCAAAGCTCCCCCGTGGGAAGCACACTTTCCTCTCTCCACAGGGGGTACTTGCTCCAGCTAGGACCACAGTACTAATGGCCCTGCTGGGCACAGGCTGTGTGCCCTGGGAGAAGGGTGAATACAGAAAGAGAGGCAGCTCAGCCCTTGGGCCACTTGTGAACCCTGTCACCCACTGACTCGGTGCCTTCAGGGAACCTTTATGTCCCCAGGAGTAAGCCAGTGGCCCAGATGGGGAAGGCCCAGTGTGCGCAGGGTGGGGCTTCTCTGTGAGGCATCCCCGCTGCCCTAGGGAGTCATGTGTGGAGATCTGTGCCTCAGTTTCCCCAGGCTAGGTGGGTTGAGAGCTGGGCGGCGGGGTGAGCCTGCATCCAGCCACTGTTGATCATAGGCATTTGTCATCATTTGGATTTTTCCCCTTGGTGCCTGACTCCATACCCAGGCCTCCCTTGGAGACGCTCTTCCCAGCTTGAGTGCTTGGGACACTGTTCCTGGTTGTTACCTGTGGGACACTCCAGCCCCTTCCAGGGCACTACACAGAGATTCCTGATTCTACCCACTGTGTCAGGAGTCCCCCAGTGTGGCAGTCCTCAACATGCTTCTGGGATGGGGTTGAGGACCAGTGCTCTGTCCAGGTCACCACTGTTTCCAAGCTCTGTGCCCCTTGCTTAGAAACTGGCACCCATACCCATGGGCTGTGTTGTTGCTATGGAGTGGACCCCTTGGCCTATGGAATCAGCTGGGCAGGGACACCCTGGGCAGCGCCCCCCCCACAGGCCCTTTAGGCTGCCCCTATGACAGCCAGAGGAAAGTTGGGGTGTGCTTTGATTGAGACCACAATTAGTTAGTTCTTTGGGTATCTGGGCCTCAGTTTCTTTATCTGTCAAGTGGGAACAGTGTCCCTGCGTGGTAGGAAGGACTGTGGGGCTCGGTGTGAAGCGTCGTGGCATTTACGTGGCACTTACTGCAGTGTGCCCTGCACACTTCTACATCCTTGGTGACTGCCGGGGGACAGGACCCAGGTGCATCCCCAAGACAGGTGGTGCTCAGGGTGCCAAGCTGCCAGGTACAAGGGTTTTGTCTGCATTATGTGTTCCCAGTCTGGTGTGGTGCTGGCATCCCAAGATCCCACCTCTGAGCACACCAGCTTCTGGGTCACCACAAGGTCTAAAGGTGGCTTTGTGACAGGGTGTGGTCACTCTGGAGAATATGGTGCTGTCTAGTCATGGCCATCCGCAGGGACTCCACATGGTAGGCAGTGGGCCCCTGTCTTGGGCTTGCGCCTACCCAAGGTCCCAAATGACAGTAAGGCCTGTCCACAGTCATGACAGAGTCCTCATGGCTGGTGGAGACAACTCTTGTCATGGGTGTCACTTAGCTTAGTTCTGTCCCTTTTGTGACAACTGATGAGCTGGGCAGCCCAGCTGTCCCTGCCCCGGGTGGGAGTACTGCAGTTTGAGCACACGAGGTGTCCTGAAGGGCCGTGTGGTGGACACAGGGGCACTACTTTGGCACTGTTTGGAGACTGGAGCCTGATGGGCATCATTAGGTATAGAAGGGAGGAGCTGGGGACCCGGCCCTGGGAGATCTCCTTCATGCCTGGCCCACATGAATGGAGTTTTGTTTTCCGTCTCATAGCCCAGGCTGGCCTCATGCTCATTATATAGCCGATGATGACCTTGAATTTCTGATATTCCTGCCTCCACCTAGGAGGAGCAAATGCTGGTGAGCCAAGTTTATAGGGTGCTGGGGATGGAACCTCTGGGGCCTCATGTGTTCCCGACAGGTGCCATACCACTCAGTTGCAGCTGCAGCCACAGCTCTGATTTTTCCTGAGACCTGGCCCATTATTAGCCCAGGATGGTTTTACACTTCCAACCCATAGTGCAAGTTTGCTATTCCATGCATTCCCTACAGAGGCTTAAAGCTTGGAGGCCAAACCTTCAGATTCCCTGGGTGTGGCTCACACTTTTAGTCCCAGCACTGGAGAGGCAGAGGCAGGCAGAGCTGTGAGTTTGGGGGCCAGCCTGGGCTACATAGTGAGATCCTGTCTATAAAAAAGATAACCAAGGGAAGAAAACCTTCCAACATGAGGTCAGGGCAACTGCTGTCAGCAAGTGTCAGCTACAGAGGAGAGTTGCTAGGCCTGGTTCCAGTGCCTGGGGAAATGTGGAGTCAGGGCAGGGTCACACCAGGCTTCCCTGGCTTTTTGGAGCTTCATAAAGGCTTATGGAGGCCCAGTGCACAGGCAGGCTCAAGAGTGGCTTCCCTGCCAGTTGCAGGCACTCAGTCCATGCAGTAGATGACATGAGCCCTCACTATCAGCCCCTGGTGTGGCCTATGGCCCTCAGAGGCCATCGGTGCCCACACCTTGGGGCCCCGGGGAGACTTTGCCATCAGCCCAGAGATAAGATCAAATCAGTGAGTCCACAGGCTGGTGCACATGGCCCTCGACTGTTAATGGCAGGCATCACCCTTACAGCTGTGATTTCTCACTACCCAGGGCATTGTCATGAGACAGAGACAGGAACCAAGCCTTAAAGCCACAACATACAGGTGTGTTCAAGCCTGTCACGTAGTGACTGACATCAGGCCACTTAACTGTTCCATGACTCAATTCCCTCAGGTGGGTCTCAGTGACAGGTCCAGGGCTGAAGCTGTGGGCGGGGCCTGAGGCTGTGGGCGGGGCCTGAGGCTGTGGCTGCTGCTGCTGCTTGAACTTCACAATAGCTCCAGGTTGTACTTCCTCACCTGACTCCAGGTTGGGTTACTGGCTTACTGAAGGCCTCCGTGGGGAGGTGACAAACTTGCTAGTGTACAAACATGTGGCTCCGTGTGTTCCAGTGTCACCCAGCTTGTGAGAGCATTACTGCTACTCCATCTTACCTCATAGTCTCAGGCACCAAGACCCATCTGGCAACCTCTGTGATGTACCTTTGATTCCCATGTCACCAATGCTGAGACATTGATTCCATATGTGAACACTGGGCCAGATGAGTGGGTACCACAGCCAATGTCTGCATGCCCTCCACCCCATTCTTCCACCCCCCCCATCCATCCATCCATCCTTCCACCTATCCGTCCATCCACCCCCAAACATATCCATTCATCTCTTCATCCAGCCATCTGTCTGTCCACTCCTCCCTTAGAGCATCTTCTCCCTTCCCCTGCTCTGCCTTCCTCCCAAGGTGGATGCTCAGTTTCTCATCTCCCCTCTCCCCATGTGGGGAGGACTGAGTGTTCTGTTTCAGGTCTGGCTTGTGGCCAGCCTTTCTTGGCCTCTGCTGTGAACATGCTGTATGATCTGACAGCTCCAGTTCTTGTCCTGCTCTATGCCATGGGTGCCCCGGATCTTCAGGTGGATTTGGCAGGCATTCCATATAGTGAGGACAGGGTTCCTCTCAGCATTGCACCCTTTCTTTCCCTCTGTTGAAGACCCTGTCACTGGCTCAGTTTACGGTAGGGACTCCGTGCAGCTGGACCGGCGTGCGCTGCCGTTTTCCCTGCCCAAGAGCAGGAGTTCACTGTCTGCATATATGTACATGTGAGAGCCCTGGGAGTGTGTGCAGGCATATGCACAGCCATTGGTGAGCTGAGGTCCTCACGTCACTTTTGTTGTTATCGTTCTTGTTGTTGTTGTTTGAGACAGGGTTTCTCTGTGTAGCCCAGGTTATCCTGGAACTCACTCTGTAGACCAGGCTGGCTTCGAACTCAGAGAACTTCTACCTCTGCCTCTTGGGATTAAAGGCATGTGCCACCACCTCCCAGGTTCCTGATGTCACTTTTGTGGTCCTTTAATTAAATCCAATGTGGTAGATAGTATCTGTGCCTCCTGGATATGAGTGGCCTGCAGTCTCTTGACCACCATGTCCATCATCCACAGCCCCAAGCTACTCCTGCATGGCGTGTGGACTCAGTACACACCTGCTGACACACTCACCCAGAGCCTACAGCCCTGGTTCTCAACCTTCCTGATGCTGTGACCCTTTAACATGGTTCCTTGTGTTGTGGTGACCCCCGACCATACAGTTTTTGTTGCTACTTCATAACTATAATTTCACTACTGTTTTAAGTCATAATGTAAACATCTGTGTTTTCCAGTGGCCTGAAGTGGCCCCTGTGAAAGGGTCATTTGACTCTCAAGAGGTCACAGCCCACAGGTTGAGAACCACTGGGCTACAGGTTCGCAGTAGTTTTTCTGTGTGTATTCAGTGTTAGGGATGAAACTCAGGACCTTACACAGGCCAGCTCCAATACTAGCCCCTCGCTGGGTGATTCTAGGTGGGGGCTCCACCACTGACCCCAGACCCTCATGGGTGCTCTGCCTGTAAATGACAGCCCTATCTCTATTCATACTTGCAACTTACTTTTGGCACGAGTGTGTGCATTTCTTGCTTGCATTTGTGTCCCCACAGGTGCATGAGTGCATATGCATGAGGAGGCCAGAGGTCAGTGTTGAGCGTCCCCCTCGGTCATACCTGCACTTCCCTGAGACAGTTCCACTTGAGCCCAAGCTAGTTTAGCTGGGGACGCCCTGTGTATCACAAGCAGTGAGGGTACAGGTGTATGCCACACACCTACACCCTCACGGTTCCAGGCTCCTGACAGCTGTCCTCATGCTAGCACAGCGTCACTGTGCCGTCACAGCCCTCAGCCTCCTGTTACCGGCGAGACAGAGGAGCCACTGCCCACTGTTTAGTTGCCAAAGGGGGCGGGGTCCCAGGGAGAGCCACATGCATAGCAGGTAGCTTCAGCATGTCCCAGGCCCTCTACTTTAGGCCTTGCAGCCTTACTGGGGCCAGCCCTGGGCTTTTCCTGCAGGGGCTAAGTGCCAAGCACACCTTTGAGTGTAGGAGGTGTGGGTAGCGCCCACGCTGAGAACAGGGTTGGGGTGACCAAGTGAGCACCCCCTGTGCTGACCATGCGTGGGGATTAATAACCAAACTCGGCGGACCTGCTGTCACGGGGGAGGGGGGGCTGGTGGCAAGGCCCTAGGTGCTGCTGGGCCTGAGGCCAGCAAGGGGCATAGAGACTCAGAGGGTCTGGGGGCAAGCTCATGGCATCCTTGTCTGCAGCAGCTAGAGAGTGGGCACCCCATGTTCTCCAGGGAGCAACCCAAGTCCTCAGATGGGAGCCAAATAGGATCCTGAGGGACCCAGCATTTCAGAAAGGACACCGTGGAATGCCCCACAGTGAGCGGGAGGGGCTTTGGGACAACGTGACAGGTGCTGACAGGTTCTGTCTACAGGCACTGGCGAGAGCGGGAAGAGCACCTTCATTAAGCAGATGCGCATCATCCATGGGGCTGGCTACTCCGAGGAGGACAAGCGTGGCTTCACTAAGCTGGTGTACCAGAACATCTTCACCGCCATGCAGGCCATGGTGCGCGCCATGGAGACACTCAAGATCCTCTACAAATATGAGCAGAATAAGGTAAGAGCCAGGGCAGGGCCTTTGGGGGCAGGGCTTGAGGGGTTGCTAGAAAATGGGAGCTGGTAAAGCTATGGTCCAGCATCACATGACCACCTAGAGACCCAAGCCTGTTGTACTTTATTTATTATTTATTTAGTTTATGTTTTCCAAGACAGGGTTGCGCTGTGTAGCCCTGGCTGTCCTGGAACACACTTTGTAGATCAGGCTAGCCTGGAATTCAGAGATCCACCTGCCTCTGCCTCCCGAATGCTGGGTTTAAAGGTGTGTGCCACCATGCTCAGCTTATTTTTCTTGAAATCCAGTGGAACTCGGAGTCTTGAGATGGTTAGCCCTGAAGTCACACTGAGCCAAGCCCTCAGCCCAAGTCCAAGCTGGTCTGCAGCTTGCCATCCCTCTGCAGAGCCCCTGTTGTCCTTAGGGTCTTGTGGTCCTGGATATGGCTGTATGGGGGGCACCTTGGCTGCTAGCTTGCCTGGCCCTGGTATCTCTGCAGCCTCTTCACGATGGTTGTTGGGGAGCCTGGGGTCCCCTTTGAGCCTCAGGTCTCATTGGTGCAGGGAGATGGGTAGAGAGCTGTGGCCCAGCTCTCTACTGGGATGAGCACTGTGGATGAGCACTACCTTCTGGCTTCCACAAACAGGCCGATGAGGGCAGGTTCTGGAAGCTTTGTGCCTCACATGAGGGAAGTCACTGTCATGATTGTGATCCTTCCCACCAGGACAGATGGACAGATGCTTCCTCTCCAGGGTGCAGTGAGACCCGTGCAGCCTGATACATACTGCTGCTGGGTGAGGAGTGTAAAGCCACTCACCTTGTCAGTCTGCGAGCCATGTCTGCTCGTGGTGGCTCAAGACACAGGCCACCTTGGGAAGAGAGTACTCCATGGTCAGGCCCTCAGGGGCTGGTGTTGTGTAATCATTGGCTCCTCTGGCCTGGGTATGTTGACCTGGGGACTGCTTCCTGGTAGCTCTGAGAGAGGGGACTTCAGAAGGAGCAAGTTCAGGGTTGGCTGGATTCTTGTGGGTAGAGGCTTGCCTGGAGGGCATGAAACCCTGGGTTACACACACACACACACACACACACACACACACACAGAGAGAGAGAGAGGGGGGGGAGAGAGGTATACCTGTCTGCTATTGCAGAGCCTGCAGGATGAGTTCAAGGTCATCCTTAACTACATCCTGAAGTCAGCCTGGGCTACATGAGAACTCATTTCAGAAAACAAAAGGGAACTACAGATTTGTCCTCATCTCTCCCAGCCCTTGTGTCCACCTGCATAGTGTATCGCAGCTTAGTTTGTGTGGTCAGGAAGCACGTGTCGTGGGTCACTGTTCCCTAGTTGCTACTGGAGATAAAGGGGCAGGCAGCCTTGTTGCCTCCCGAGGCCTGGGCCTTGTAAACCCAGGCTGCAGCTCCCTTAACTTCCCTGCCAGCTCTGCAGGCCCCTACTTGGCCATGGTTCCCCAATAGTTCATGGCCCATCTGCCCTCCCTCAGGCCAATGCACTCCTGATCCGGGAGGTGGACGTTGAGAAGGTCACAACCTTCGAGCACCAGTATGTGAATGCCATCAAGACGCTGTGGAGTGACCCTGGCGTCCAGGAGTGTTACGATCGCAGGCGGGAGTTCCAGCTGTCTGACTCTGCTAAATAGTGAGTGGCTAACCTAAGCGATGCAGATGGCCATGACCAAGAGGCTGGGGTGGGGTGGCTTATGTGACCTGTCCACAGCCTCGTCACCCACAGGGTTGGCCAGCTTCGCCAGTCAAGGCCTGTTCTCTGCTCCCCTGCCCAGATGTGGGGGACTACACAGGGCAGGGCTGGCCTGACGCCCCCGACCCTCCTTACACGTCTGCCTCAGAGAGACCAAAGGGAAGCTTGAGCAAAAGGGTGAGAGCCCGGCCTCTCAGCTGGCCCAGTAGGCACCCTCCTTGCAACCTCTTAACATGTCCCCATGACCTGCTGGGGACATCTAGGAGGCAGTCACGGGTTAGGACAGTCTGTGGTCAGGAAGTTGTCACACAGGCACCCACATCACTAGTGTCCCCTGCAGCTGTCTGGGGCTCTCTATCTGGCCTGCTTGCTCTAAGCCCACAGCCACCCTGACCCTGAGTTGAGCTTTCTGAGGTGTCCCTTGTACCATGGGCCCTGTTCTCCTGCTGTCCTGACCAACAAGAGCACTGAGTACCTTCCTAGGATCATTTTCTATGTGAGACACTTGTGTCCCTAGGCCTATGGAGGCAGTGTGCTCTTACCAGGGCTGGTAGGGCTGGCACTGTACCAGTTCCCATTCTGTGCCGTGTGACACCAAATCTTTGTCTGTTGTGGGTGTGGGATCTGCGCATGGCCCAGGTGCCACTGTCCCCACTGGCTCCTGAACAGACATCCCTATACCACAGCTACTTGACGGATGTGGACCGTATCGCCACAGTAGGCTACCTGCCCACCCAACAAGATGTGCTGCGGGTGCGAGTGCCCACAACTGGCATCATCGAGTACCCATTTGACCTGGAAAACATCATCTTCAGGTGATGCTCAGAGTGCCATGGGCCCAGAGGCCTGTCCAGAGGGCCCCGGGGACTGTGGGGAGGATGGGGAAGATCATGAGCTGGAGTGACCTGGGCTTTGCAGCCTCTGGTTGGAGAACCTATCAGGGCCCCTTCCTGGGACCCCGATGAACCTGAAGGGCACAAGGCAAGCATTGATGGTGTTGCCAGGGGGACATGTGTTGCTCCCACTCAGCGCCCTCACCTACAGGCTCTATGATGAGGTCAGGATGAGTTGGGTGACAGTTGTCCCAGGCCCCTTCCGCATCTGATAGAGGGTCCTTGATGGCATGTTGTACCAGCTCTGCCCCACCTCGCCCCATGTGTGCAGCTGATTTTTAAGCTGCCTTTTTGTAAGGCCCCTGGTGGCACCTTGATGCTATGACATCAGTGCAGAGGCCTGTCTCCATTAAAAGTCCTTCCCAGGGTTTGAACATATCCTGACCATCACTGCCTTGTCCTTACCTCCCTGTGGTGGCCCTTTATAGGCACATGCTCCCCAGCACTGATATAACCATATCTCCAAGACAGTGTGTCCATCCCAGACTGCCACAGCCACCCTAGTGAGGGCAGCGGCCCATGGTACACCCTTGGGGACCACATTGCCACTGACCTGGAGTCCTGGCCAGGTGTAGCCAGGTGGGAAGCCCTGTGGTTCCCATGCCACCAGCAAACAAAGTCCACGGGCCAGAACCCACCAGCATAAATGAAGGGGAAACGATGTGCTCCCCCAACCTGTGCAGGTACTATGTGACTCTGAGCCATGTAGACATGATTCAAGTCGAAAAGGCCACCCAGGTTCTGAGAAAACACTGCCCCATCTGTACAAGGGACTTGAGCATCTATGGGAGCACCTGCCCAGTCATCCTGGGCTGCAGGCAGCATCCAGGAGCTGAGTTGTCATGCATCTCCTCTAGGATGGTGGATGTGGGCGGACAGAGGTCAGAGCGTAGGAAGTGGATCCACTGCTTTGAGAATGTGACGTCCATCATGTTCTTGGTGGCCCTAAGCGAGTATGACCAGGTCCTGGTGGAATCAGACAACGAGGTGATGCTGGGAATACTCATGGGGGTCGGGCAGGGCCAGGCATGGATAGCCTGTTGACTGTGTGTGTGTCCCACAGAATCGCATGGAGGAGAGCAAGGCACTGTTCCGCACCATCATTACCTACCCCTGGTTCCAGAACTCATCTGTCATCCTGTTCCTCAACAAGAAGGACCTTCTAGAAGACAAGATCCTGCACTCACATCTGGTTGACTACTTCCCTGAGTTTGACGGTGAGCACTGACTGGCTCCTGAGGCCTGGCTGCCACTGTGCCGGGCACCTAGGAGGTCATTGACTTTGGCTCTCACCCACTCCCTGCAGGGCCACAACGGGATGCGCAGGCCGCGCGTGAGTTCATCCTGAAGATGTTTGTGGACCTGAATCCCGACAGCGACAAGATCATCTACTCGCACTTTACCTGTGCCACCGACACTGAGAACATCCGCTTTGTGTTTGCCGCTGTGAAGGACACCATCCTGCAGCTGAACCTGAAGGAGTACAACTTGGTGTGACCTGGGTGCGGCGGCCACCAGGGCCAGCTCCGTCCGTATCAGGTCACCCAAACCGAGGGCCTGGGCACACGAGGGCCTGGGCGCATGGGACTGGGGCGTGTCTCTTTTCCCTCTCACTTCCTGTCCCTGTCACCATTCCTCAAGAGCAGGGGTAGCCTCTTTCTGGCCTTGACTCCTTGTGGCTTGAGTCTTTTTTTTTTTTTTTTTTTTTTTTCTAGGAAGCAAACAAAAGAAACACACACACACACACACAGAGAAAGAGAGAGAGAGAGAGAGAGAGAGAGAGACATGATGAATAATAGTGGGCCCTCCCAAGGAGTCCCCCATGGCCACAAGGTGATCAAGGTTAGAGCCCTGCAGCCTAGGCCCATGGTCCCAAATTTGAGTCCTCCCCCGGAAGGCTGGAGGCTTGGGGGTCATGGACTGTCCCTTTTGTAAGTTATTGATCTCCCATGTGCCCTCATGACCCATACCATCTGCTCCCCAGACTCCAAGAAGTGGGGGTGGGCGGCCCCTGTGCCCACCCTGGGAAGTGCCTACCATTTTTGTTTTGTTTTTGTTTTTGAAGAAAAGAGAAATACTCTCCTCCACTCTGTCTTGGCAGGGCAGGTGACATACTGCAGGTCCCCCGCTCTGAGTGACTGTCACCCTTGTCTCCCTGCCTCAGACAGGACCAAGCCTGTGGCTGAGCCTTTGGGGGCATTGAACCCCTGAGATCCACTTCCTAGTGGCCTGGCCAGGAGAGGCCTAGGGACCCCGAGAGGCTGTGTGGAGCTGGGCAGCTAGAGGGACCGTCCTTGTGACTCAGTGAGACCTTTTTCTTCCTTTTTTTTGGGGGGGGTGATTGAGAATGGGTGCACAAGGGCCTCTTCCGAGTTTTCTCAGGTCCGTCCCGTCCCCAGACACGGGCAGTGGCCTCACCCACGTGCTAGATCCCAGATCCCAGTTCCAGTTGCTGCACCACTGCCCGGTGCTTCCCAAGCCCGAGGGCCAGCATCCTGGAGGTGGTGGTCATGGCCAGAGAGGACACAGGCAGCCCCCTGCTGCTCATATACACTACATTGTCTGTCTGTCTGTCTGTCAGTCAGATTTCTTTACTTTTGCACGTGCATTCTGGGCTTGGATATCCGGCCATGCCTTTGTCCTGCCTGCCACGCTGGACTCCAGGCCCCAGAGTGTCCACTCAGACACATGCCAATTTGGGCAGTTGGCCACATTGCTGTCCCAGGCAGAAGGGAACAAGAGAGCAATGGTCATAACAGACGGGTGGCTGTGACAAGCACCCACATTCCTGGCCTCCAGCCCATGGGTTCCTCACCTTCCCACACTGGACTCCTCTTCTGTCTCCAGCTGAGGGTCCGATCTTGTGCCATCCCAACCACGATGGGCTGCGCTGCGTGGATGACAGGGTCATCCTGGCCACCCAGAGCCAAATGGCCATTGTGGCTAGCCACCCTTGGGAAGTCCAGGTTCTCAGAGAGTGGGCATCTGCCACATAACAAGAGGGTCTGGAACTGTACAGGTGTCCAAGGGTTGGCCACCCCAAGCCGGCAAAGTGTTAGCCCCTTTCAGGCAGTGTTCCAAGTATGCCGGGCCACAGTGGCCACAGCCAAAGCCCTGGGGCAGTGCCCAGCTCTCCCAAGTGGTGGGTGGCGGGTTCTGCCCAGGGGATCCATGCTAGGGCCTTTGGGGTTGTGCCACATAGGTCAGAATGAAGACCCAGCTGCCCTACATCTGATCTGGCCCTCACCAAGGGATAGCCTGACTGCAGGGAACACACTGGCTTCTTTGTGTCTGCCTCAGTGCCCTGGGAGTGCCATCCACCGCCTGGCGAGGGAGCCCAGGCCTAGCCCATAGTGGCATCCAGTGGCTGTTGTGCCCCTTGTATATTATTACACAGTCTTGATTTCAGCCAACTTCAGCCTATTTAAGAGAACACTCAAAACACTGTTTTTAACCCTCGTCCTTTTCGAAGCATGTTCCTTGTGTCGGTGGGGGGAGGCTGGGTACCCGGCTCGGTGCCAGGCTCCTGCAGGCCCTTGGCCCCGAGGGGTGGATGCCGGGGTGCAAGCAGCAGGTTGGGGCCTTGACCCCTTACCCAGAGGGTCTCGCTGAAGCCACCTTTTCATATCTTTCTCTTGAATTCTGTTTTAAATCGGAATAAATTTTGTTCCTAAACTCTGGTTCCTTGGGGGTTATTATTAAAGGTGGAGGAGTGAGTGTCATTTAAGCCTCACCTGGTCACTTGATCCCCCCCCCCCTTTACCATAGGTGTGTCATTTCCACACATACACACTCATACTGCTTCCTGGAGAGGGCTGAGCGGCAACACAGAAAGGACCTGATGGAAGACCTTCTGCCGGGACCTCACCGGGAAGGAAAGTCGGTCTCCAGCCTTTGCTTCAGGGCGCTGGGTGCTGGGCCATCCATCCGTTCGCTTTGCTTCGCTGCCACCTTTTTTTTTTTTTTTTTTTTTTTTTTTTTTTTTTGAGAGGGTTTCTCTGTGTAACTCTAGCTCTTCTGGAACTCACTCTGTAGACCAGGCTGGCCTCAAACTCATAGAGATCTGCCTGCTTCTGCCTCCCCAGTGCTGGGACTAGAGGCGTGTGCTACCCACACCCAGTCATTTGCTTCTCTGGGAAGATGACTGAATGGGTAGGGTGCTTGCCATCCAAACAGGATCTGAGTTCAATCCTGCCCTGCCACGCTGGGCCCAGTGGGGTGCATCTGTGACCACAGTGTGGGGACAAGCAGATCCCTGGAGCTTACTGGCAGCCAGTCTATGAGCCGATGCTGTTCAGTCTGGCTCAAAAACCAAGGTAGCACAATCAAGGAAGACAGTGGCGGCCTCCACAGGCATGTAGGAACACAAAATCAAAATGTGTGTGTGTTTAGTGGCATGAAGCTCACCTGTGCTGCTGTGCAACTGTCCTGAGCACCCTCTTCCAGAACATTCCATCTCCTTTTCACTAAGTTCAGTTTCCATTCAACATACATGTCCAGTGCCTGGCATCCATCCTCCCCACCTCCTGTCTCTGTGGATCTAAGGACTCAACGCTTCCTAGGTGTAGGGACCTGCAGCCTGTGGTGCCACTGAGGCCTGTGTCCTTCGGGACCACCCACCAGGGAGCAGGGTTCTGAAGGCCTTTTTTCTCTTCACAGCTGAGTAAAATTGCTTCCATGTGCTGGGTGGGTCGCATCGTGTGTCTCTTCGTCCATGTGCTGCCTCTGGATGACTTCCAGTTCTTGGCTGCTGTGAATCTGGCTAACGGGCACCTGGGTGTAGGAAAATGTCTTCAGCCTTTGGCTGTCAGCTCCCTGGCTGTTTCCCATGGTGGCAGACACCAGGGCCCCAGCAGCTGTGCAAGAGGATTCCAACCTCTTGTCACCTATGCAGGTGTCCTCAGGGTCCTGTTTGCCCAACAGGGCAGTTCCAATGATAACACAGCGTTCACTGGGGGGAAAAAAAGATGGATCCAGGTAAGGTGTGAGATGGGCTCCCCTACACCGGTCATTCAGAAAAGTGTTTCCTTTTCCCTTACTAGAGTGTCCTAGTAGTCACTATTGATACAATGAAACTCCGTGACCAAAGGCTAGTTGGAGAGGAAAGGGTTTATTAGGCTTAACACTTTCACATCACAGTTCACCCACCAGCAAAGGAAGTCAGGACAGGAACTCCAGCAGGGCAGGAACCTGGAGGCAGGAGCTGCTGCAGAGGCCATGGAGGGCGCTGCTTACTGACTTGTTCCTCATGGCTTGCTCAGCCTGCTTTCTTATGGAACCCAGGCCCAGCAGCCCAGGGATGGCACCACCCACCATGGGCTGGGCTCTCCTTCAATGATCACTGAGTGAGATGCCTTCCAGCTGCATCCCATGGAGGCATTTCCTACACTAAGCTCCTTCCTCTGATAATCCTAGCTTGTGTAAAGTTAACATGGACTACCCAGGACAGTGCCACAGGACACTGGTGGAAATCAAAGGACAACTTGCAAGAGTGGGTTTGGTGTCAATCTCCTTTGTCAACTGAACGCTCTTGCTAGCCCCAGGAAGGATTTTTCTGTGGAAGGCGGCTGTAGTGGTTTTCGTGAGAAATGTCGCAGTGGCCTCAGGTCCCTGGTCAGTGCTACTCAGGAGGAGGATGGCTTTAGAAGGTATGGCCTGGAGGTGGGGTGGGGTGGGGGCAGGGCGGGGCTTGCTCTGTTTTCCTAGTGAGTGAGAATGTGACCAGCCAGCTTCTTGCTCTAGTTACCTACTACCCTGTCACCTCCACCATGATAGACTCTAACTCTCTGGAATGGGAAGCCAAACACAATAAACTTTTGCCCATAACTTCCTTTCGGTCTCAGTATTTATCACAGCAACAGAAAAGTCAAGATGTTATGGTACATAAGTGGATCTTGGGAGGTAAAAGAGCTATGCTATTACTAGAAAAAAGGGGTCCCAGAGAGGACAGGGCCACGCAAAAGCTCCCGGGTGGGGGACACGGAGTGCAAAGGCCCCGGGCCTCAGGACGCAGTATGGAAAGACCCCGGGGTGGGGGTGGGGTGGGGGGACGACACAGCTGCAAAGGCTTGGGAATTGTATGGAGCCTGGCATGCAAGAGCATAGAGTCAGGCCTGTGTGGCCGGAGCAGAGGGAAGAGGGAGGGAGGAACGCCCGGCCTGGGCGGCCAGGCCCGTTGTCTGCAGGAAGGACTCTGGTGACTGTTTCGAGGCCACAGGCCTGACAGTCAGAGCCAGATGGGGACCAGATGAAGATGAGTGAGACTGGAAGAGGTAGCAGCAGTGAAAGCATCACCGCTCGTCCAGGTCCGCGGTATAGGTGTCTGTCATTCCTCCAGCGTCCAGCAGGTGTCGCCAGACAACGACTGCAGCTGCAACCAGGCCATAGCCGCTTTGTCTGTGGGTGGGTGAGTGGGGCCCTGAGTTTGAGTGCAGACGCGTGGCCACGTCCAGGGATAACATGAAGAGGCCAGGACGTCTGCTCAGCACCAGTAATAGGTCGGTCAGGGATGGAGGTAGCAGCTGTGAGCAGTGGCTGTGATTCTAGGAGTCAAGGGTTCAAATCCAGCACCCACACCTGTGACTCCCGTTCCAGGCAACCCACCGCCTTTTTCTGGTCTCTGAGGCCACCGACGCACATGTCTGTGAATTGTCCAAGCACACCAAAGAGATAGATCAATTTTTGCTTGTTTTGTTTTTTGAGACAGGGTTTCTCTCCATCCCTGACTGTTCTGGAACTCACTCTGTAGACCAGGCTGGTCTCAAACTCACAGAGACCCACCTGCCTCTGCCTCCCCAGTGCTGGGATTAAAGGTGTGTGCCATCAGTGTTTACTTACCTTTTTTTTATTTTTTTGAAAGAAAAAAATGTCAGACGGGCAAGAGAGCTCAGAGTGTAAAGGAGCTTTGGGCCAAGCCTGACCACCAGAGTCTGATCCTTGGAACCCAGGTGCTGGAATTAGAGAAGTGACTCTCGCAAGGTGTCCTGGGACCTCCACACCTGTGTCATGGCATATGCCACCATACATAGTAAATAAACAAATCTAATTTTAAAATTTAAGAAAAAAGCCTGTTACATCAGAAACAAAAGGATCCTGTTTGTGGTTGATACCGTGTTTCCACAGAGGTGCAGGGACCTGACTACAGTGCCAACAAAACTAGAGCACAGAAAGTTGGAGATATGGTCTCCTCACTGTGTAGCACAGGCTGGCCCAGAAGTCACAGGACCCCAGGGCAAGACTCAGGGTCAGCCCAGCCGTCAATGGGCGGGGCAGCTCCCACTGGCCTCTGTGACCCTGCCTGGCCCCTATCGCACTTCCCATCTGCTGCAGTTTGAAACAACAGTCAACTGAAGTCAGCCAGTGTAGGGCAGGCGTGGGCCTGCAGTGGACCTGGGTGGGGGGAGGCTTGTGTTCTGGGGGTGTCGCAACCCTTTCTGAACCTCACAAATCCTTCATATCAAGTGAGGAGCTACCTGGATGCTCTGATCTAGGGGAGGAGGCAGACATACCTGAGCCAGAATGGTCTGGAACTTTTAGTTTCCTGAGTCTGAGGTCTGAACTCCCAAAGTCGGTTAATGTAACCTTCACTGTGACCCTCTCCTGACCCCTTGTTTAAAGCCACCCCAACACTTAATGTCTCTGCTTTACTTTTGTCTTAAAATTCGTCACCATCTGTGGCACCCTCAGAGTTTTACTATTATTATTTATTTATTTATTTATTTTGGTTTTGGTTTTAAGTGAAAGGTCAGAGGGCAACCTTCAGAATGTCTTCTCCCCTCCCGTGGCACGGGCCCCAGGGATGACACAGTTCAGGCTGGAGGCACAAGTTCCATCCCCCCACCCCAGGTGACATTTCACTGGCACTTCCAAGTTCAAAGAATGTTCTGTTTTGTCCCACATGGAGCAAAATAAAAGCCTTCCTGGTATACAGTAGGTGCTGCGTAGGTGCCAGCATCAGTCCCTGTCTCACCAAGGGCCAGGCATGAACCACCCCATCTTCCCTCTGTCCTATGACAAGCCCTGCCTTTACTCCCTGCCTCAGTTTCCTCCTATCAAATCAGGGTGTGTGTGTGTGTGTGTGTGTGTGTGTGTGTGTGTGTGTGTGTGTGCGCGCGCGCGCACGTGCACGTTTGGAGGGAAGGGACCTGCAGCCAAACAGACTGGGAAGCAGACTTCCCTCCACCTCAGCGGTTCCGAAATCAGCCATGAGCAATAGCTGTGCCCACTGGCTGCTTCCTACTTGGCCCAGAGGAGGGGGCCAGCTGGGGCCAGCAGCGTCAGAGGCCCAGGGGGCGAGGCCACCCTCCTCGGGAAGGAGGAAGGAGGCCTGGGCTGTGCGGGCGGGCGGTGGCCACCCTTCCCTCCCCATCTGCCACAGCCTCCGCCACAGACCTGTTGGGCGGGCAGGGCCAGGTCTGGGCAAGTTGGAGGGGGCGGGAGCCGGCACCCAGGTCCCCGCCCTGCTCCTGGCACCCAGGTCTCTCGCAGGCTTTGCCTGGGCTCCCTCAGGCCCTAGGCAGGAACATCGGGGGTCCTGGAGTGACCCCCACGTCCGTTCCACCCGCTGTGGCTGTGCGAGGCCCCGAGGGGCGATGTCACCTTGTGGCCTGTGAGGCACCCGTCATGGCCAGGTCCCTGACCCGGGGCTGCTGTCCCTGGTGTCTGACGGATGAGGAGAAGACCGCGGCCAGAATCGACCAGGAGATCAACAAGATTTTGTTGGAACAGAAAAAACAGGAGCGCGGGGAACTGAAACTTCTGCTGCTGGGTAAGTGGGAGCGGCACAAGGGGAGAATGTGACCGGGAGAGGACAGTGACTCGGCCACAGCAGGTAGGCCTCGCTTACTGGCTAGCAGACCCGTTTTCCTGATGGGAAGAGCAAGACAGCAAGGCTGAATGCACATGGGGCTGCAGGGAGGTGGCCCCGGTGGGCGCTGCCACCCGCGTGTGTCACAGGAAGGGAATGAAGGTGAGACGCTGCCCAACCTGGCCCAGGGAGGGGCTTAGGCTCTTCCTGCAGCTGCCTGAGCTAGGGCTCCAAGCAGCCTGCCAGCGGGTCATGGCCACCAAAGGCACTGACTGGGTCTTTCACTTACTCATTCATTCGTCAACTCTGAACTCTTGAACTGTCCAAACTGCTTCGTGCCTGCCTACCACCCTAGTACTTGAGATGCTGAGGCAGGAGGACTGTGAGTTAGAGGCCAGCCTGGGCCAAGTGAGATGCTGTCTCAGAAATCAACAAAAGGGGGAGGGGCAGAGCAGGGCCTGGGCTCAGTGGGCAGAACAGCCCCATAGCCAGCACTGAGGGGACCCTGGTTTTCATCCCAGGGCCACACCAGCCAGATGTGGGTCCTGCGCATCTGCCACCCAGCACTCAGGAGGTGCAGGCAGGAGGACCAGGAGCTCTGGGTCACCCTGAGCTACACAGGGAGTTTGAGGCTAAAATAAAAAGCCAGGCACAATGGTACACAACTAGCCCTTGGTTGATGGTAACATCGAAATAATGAGTACTAAGCCACCCTTAGCTACAGAATAAAACCCAGTCTAAATAACATCATCATGAAAGGATCCCATTGAGGGACAAGACAATACCCACAAGCCAATGAAACAGTTACTGCTCAATAACTGACACTTTAATTCCCGTTTCTGAAGGGGAATTTTCCTTCCCTTTTAAGCAATTCTGGTAGAGCATAAAGCCACCCAACTTTACCCCTCAGACAGGAGCCCCTGCCAGTCCCTCATAACATCCACTCAGGCATCAGCTCCCTGGCTCCACATAGAGAACTGCCTTTTGTTCTTGGCTTAGACCACTCGGCCGTCCTGACACCCTACCTCATTGTTAAATGAGTCCATCTGAGCCCAGAAGGCTTTGAATGAAGAAGGATTTGATTTCTCCAAGGAGGTCAGATGGCTCACGGGGGAGAGGCGCTTGCTGCATGGGCCTGACACCAAGTTCAAAGTCTGGACTGACAAAGATAAAGAAGAAACGACTCCCCCCAAACAGATCCCTGACTTCCACAGCCCATGACACAACTGTCCACATTGTGCAATTGAAACATCATAGGCGTGTATCCTGGGTCCTGAGAGTACTGCTCATGGGTGCAGGCCCGCCCAGAATTCTGCGGTGAGGGCTGGAGCGGGTCTCTTTGACTGTGCCTGTAAAGTCAGGTGTTCATGCCCCCAGGACCGGGGAGAGTGCTGGAGAGCAGTTAAGAATATCTCATTGCCTGGTGCCTCTTCCTGAGTTAGGGTTTGTGCTGTTGTTGACTAAATCAGCTTCATGTTGGTCATTTGTGTTTCTCATTCTCCCTTGGACCATCAAGTCTGTAGCTTGTCACCTCGGCAGTATTTTGGGATGATGCAGCAGTTCACAACAGGACCTTTGCATCAGCATCCCCTGAGCTTTCAGCCCCCCTACCCTGCACATTGTGAGGCCAGATTCTCCACTCCAGGAGAGTGAGTGGAAGGCTCAGCTCTTGGGACAGCAGCATTGCCTGGCTCCTGAGGCTTCTCAGACAGCCCTGCCATTCTCCTTTCTCCTTATCATTCAGATCTTTATTCAAAGTCCTCTACTTGCTTAACTGATTGTATCTAATTACACAGTACAGACAACAAAAGGGTGGGAACTGAGTCTGCCTTCTTCACTCCTGTATTCCCAGTGCACAGCACCATGAGACCACATACAGGTGGAGCTCAGTAAATGCAGTGTGAAGGATGGATGGATGGATGGATGGATGGATGGATGGATAGATGAGTGGGTGGATGGGTGGATGAGTGGGTGGATGGGTAGATGGGTGGGTGGATGGGTAGATGGGTGGGTGGATGGATGGATGGGTAGATGGGTGGGTGGATGGATGGATGGGTGGGTGGATGGGTAGAAGGGTGGGTGGATGGGTGTATGAGTGGGTGGATGGGTAGATGGGTGGGTGGATGGGTAGATGGGTGGGTGGATGGGTAGATAGGTAGATGGATGGATGGGTAGATAGGTGGGTGGATGGGTAGATAGGTAGATGGATGGATGGGTAGATGAGTGAGTGGATGGGTAGATGGGTGGGTGGATGGATGGATGAGTGGGTGGATGGATGGATAGGTGGATGGGTAGATAGGTGATGGATGGGTGGGTGGGTGGATTGATGAGTCCATTTTCAGGATAGAATCCCCTTAGCCCAACCCAGCTGTTCTCTGACTGTCTGCTAAGGACATACAGCAAACACTGTTCAGCCCTTCCACCTTCTTCCAGTGAAAGGTGAACTTAGTGATTTGTTTGTCTTCTGAGCACTGGTGTAGTTTCAGAGATTTGTGCTGCAGCCCTTGTCTGTCCTATCTACTTGATGGTTGCTTCTCAGTCCTTTTTTGAAAACAGGAATCAAATCCAAAAATGTATTATTTCTCTCCTGGAGTAGGCAGGGATTTTGAGGAAGCTGGCTGGGGGTGGAGAGGGGCATGTCTGTGCCAAGAAGGAGGCAGCTAGCATGTGACTGAGAGCAGAAAGTCAGAGTCAAGCAAGAAATCTGTCTTTGCTGAGTAAGCCCTTGAGGGTGAACCACCTTGCTGAAGCCACTCAGCCAATGGTTTCAGTGTCCTCCGTCTGCTTCTGTCAAGGTCTGACGAACCCTGGTTAAAGATGGCAACAAGGGAAACTGAGGCCCGGCAGGTGTCAGTATTTACCTGGGGACGGCAGCTCACCTGGGCCCAGATACCCAGATGTGGTCTCTAAGCCCCCCATGAGCCCCACTTCCCATGGCATGAGTGAGACGCTAGGTCCTCCCGCCACCCTCATGTGGCACAACTACCCCCACATTGCTGTCCCCGGCCTAGTTCCACTTCCTCTGCCGTCTCCAGAAGGAAGCAGATACTTCCTATCCAGATTGGGCAGCCTGGCCAGGTGGAGAGAGCTGTTGCCACAGCTACAACCACACTGTGGAAGTCTCTGGAAAGAGATGAGTGACTGCGACTGTGCCCAAAGCTGCAACTGCCCCAGGAGCTTCAGACCTTCAACAGTGGAGTGTCACAGGCCGTCCCTGAGCTCCGGCGTGGGAGAAGGCCACAGTCCACACAGTGCATACCTTGCTTTGTGCAGCTGAGTTTCTCTCACTGGACCCGGAGCCCCAGGCTCCCTAGGTGCTGGCCAACAGCACCAGGATCCCCCTGTCTCTGTCTCCCCATCACTGGGGATTCCATTTTAAGTCCTCAGGACCAGATAGCAAATGATTCGCCAAGAAAAGCACATATTCCCACTATTGTGATTATTGTGGCCACTGGGTAACTCTGGCTGACCTGCAACTAAATCAAACCCCCCCCCCAAATTTGAAACTAACTTCCAGACTGCTGGGAGTGAAGGTGTGTCCCACACAGCAGACCCAGCGGTACTTTTTAATTGCCTCCCACCACCCCTATCCTTAGACAGGGTTTCTCTGTGCAGCCCTGGCTGTCCTGGAACTCGCTCTGTAGCCCAGGCTAAAATTAAAGGTGTGTGCCACCATCAACTGTCTCTAACTGGCTTTATTTTCCAGTCTTTAGATTTATTTTCATCGGGGTGAAATTCACATGTCACATAGCATAGACCCTGTCACTGTAAAATTAATATGCCCACAGCATGTGCTGCGTTCGGAGACTACTACCTCAGTCTTGTTCTCTTTTTCTTTGTTAATTAGTTTCTTTCATTTATTTTACATCATGACCACAGTTCCCCCTCCCTCTTCCCCTCTGGTTCCCTCCCTACCCCCACTCTCCTCTGCCCACCCCATCCATTCCTCCTCTGTTTCTGTGCAGAAAGGGTCAGGCCTCCCATGGTATCACCAAAGCGTGGCTCATCAAGTTGAGGTAGGATTAGGCTCCTTCCTTGTATTAAGGCTGGGGAAAACAACCCAATTTGGGGAATAGCTTCCTAAAAAAGGTTATTGGGTTTTTAAAAAATGCATATGCCTGGGTGTTTATGTACACACCTGTCAGTGTACCATATGTGGTCAGTGCCCGAGGGGGCCAGAAATTGGAGTCAGAAGTCCTGGAACTGCAGTTCCAGGGCTATAACCATGTGGGCACTGGCACTGAACCCTGGTCCTCTGCAGGAGCAGCTGGAGCTGTAGCCTCTGAGCATCTCTTCACCCCTCCCCCGATTTCTGTTTATTTGGTTGGTTGGTTTTTCAAGACTGGGTTTCTCTGTGTAGCTTTGGAGCCTTTCCTGGAACTCCCTCTGCTCTGTAGACCAGGCTGGCCTTGAACTCACAGAGATCTGCCTGCCTCTGCCTCCCTAGTGCTGAGATTAAAGGCAGTGTCACCACCACCCTGCTTTTTTTTTTTTTTTTTTTTTGCCCCATTGCTCAGGTTGACTTCAAAGTACCAGTCCTCCTGTGCCTGTGTCTGGAGTGGTGGCCACCATATGCCCCCGTGGAAGGGGAGTAATGCCATGGGGCTTGGCAGTTAGCTCACCAGCTACCCCTGCAATGGACAAGGCTCAGTTCCCAGCACCCACACGAGGATCACAACCGCCTTTGACTCCAGTTCTGGGGACCCGATGCCCCCTGCTGGCCCCTGAAGGTTCTGCACCCACGTGGCACACAGAAAGGCAGGCAAATACCCCCCCACACACGCACACACACACATACATCAAATAAAATGAAAATCAAATTAACAGCAAAATTTTAAAACTCTGGCCACTGAACTACAATAAAGTGTGTGGGTGGGGCCCATAACTGTTCTACGCCCTTCAGACAGAAGCGGGATGTGAGAATTTAGGGGTGACTAGCAGGTCACAGGTAATGACTCCTGCCCTGTAGTCCTGCCTCATAGCATCCCTGGAAACCCCACAACAGCGCTGGTGGATGCTGATGCCACATAGCCGGTTCTGCTAATGGGGCCTGTGGGGGCCCTGGTCCGTCCCCTGGTTCTGTGACCGACCTCTCTGATTCTTTGTATCTCCTTGGAAATGGTATAAATGCTGGTCATCTGTGACCGCAAAAAGACTTGCAGCCTCTCAGCTGGGATCTCAGGAGGCAGTGATTGAGGGAGCACATGTTACCACTATCCAAGCCTGATACAGGACTCAGGTCCACCCCATGCCTCCTGCTTGTGACCCAGGCTTCTCTGAAAGCTGAGTTTGTCGAAGGACATAGTGAGACCCTTTTAAAAGAAAACTGAGGGAGTGGTCAGGATGGAGCCCCGCCTAAAATCCCCCAGTGTAGGGGTGTGTGTGGTCAGGGTGGCAGGGTGGGGCCTGGCCTATCGTGTACGAGGCTCTAGGTTCAAATTCTCTGGGAGGGGAGCCCCCTCCAGTACCCAGGCAGCTGACACACAGCTTCCTCTATCCGTCCCAGCACCGCCCCGTCTTCCCGCAAATGTCACTAATGACAGACTTTCTTGACTCATTTGCCTAATAGACTGCACATCTTGAGAAACTGAGTCTCAGAGAGGAGCCATGCCTTCACCTGAACGGTCCACCATCGGATTTATAGACAATGGCGCTAGCCCTTCCCCTCCTCCGAGCCTCCTATCTTTAGCAGGTCTACACAACCCCAGTCACATCCCCCTCCGTTTTGTTCTTAGCCAGTATCTCATGTAGTCCAGGCTGACCTTTAACTCATTCGCTGTGTGCTACAATGATCGGCACGGGCCTCCGTGCGAGGTTTTTGTGGTGTTGGGGATGGAACCGCGGGCCACATGCACGGCAGGTGAGCCTTGGGCCTGAGGTGCCAGCCCTTGTTCCTCTTTCTGTTCTTGTAACTTCCCCCACTTCCTCCTGCATGAGCCTGACCCTCATCCTGGGGTCTCATGCCGTTGGTTCCCACTTCCCTTCCTTGGAAAGGCTGTGTGCAATGTCCCCAGGGGACAGGCAGGTTCCTATTCCCCCAGTAGATTTATCACTCAGGGCAGGGCATGCTCTTAGGGCTACACAGTGAGACAGCAGGAAGGCCAGGCCTGTGTCTCAGGCTCTGGACCCCAAAGGGAAGATTTTAATATAATCATTATGGACCATAGAGCCACAGCTTCATCTGTGACTGCCTTGGCCTGATTGCTCAGCCATTCATTTTCTGTTCTATTCACTCTAAAGTTTACCTTTCTTCTGGGCATAGTGGTACACACCTGTCACATTTGGGAAGCTGAGGCAGGAGAGTTGTGATCAACAGGCCTGGCTACAGAATGCATGTGTGTGTGTGAACAAACATACACACACACACACACACTGTAGGTGCTAGGAAATGGCTCAGCAGTTACCAGCATGGGCTGCTCTTGCAAAAGACCCATGATCAAGTCCCAGCACTCACTTGGTGGCTCACAACTATCTGCAACTCCAGCTTCAGGAGATCTGATGCCCTCTTGGAACAGCATGGGCACTGCACTTAAATGGTGCACAGACACATACACATGCAACACACCACACACGTAAAATAAAATAAATAGATCTGAAAGAACTGTTCTAAGCCAGACAGCAGTGGCACGTGCCTTTAATCTGCACCTGGGAGGCAGAGGTGAGCAGATCTCTAAGTTTAAGGCCAGCCTGGTCTACAGACTGAGTACCAGGACATCCAGGACTACATAGACAAATCCTGTCTCAAAAATCTAAAACTGGGGGCTGGAGAAATGGCTTAGCAGTAAAGAGCACTGACTGCTCTTCCAGAGGATCTGGGTTCAGTTCTCAGCACCCACATGGCAGCTCACACCTGTCTGTAACTCCAAGATCTGACACCTCCACACAGACATGCATGCAGGCAAAACGCTGATGCAAATAAAATAAAATAAAAAAAATAAATAAAAGAAAAGCTAAAACCAACCAAACAGAAAATAATTGTTCTAAAATGTTGCTCTTTTTGAAACAGGTGTAGCAAATGCAGACTATTAATTGAGTGGTTCTAATGTCACTGGACCTGGCTGTGGATGGTGGCAGGATGGTTTATGAAGTCCAGTTCTTCCCCCTGCCCTTTCAGCACAAAAACAAAAACAAATTCATGGGCCAGGTTCTGATAAAAACTTTATTGGTAGACAGGAGTGTGGCTCAGTTGCAGCTTTTGTCCTGCCCGAGTGAATCACATCGTTCTATCCAGTGTGAAACTCAGCCCAAACAATACTGTGTAAAGTGAAGTGTGACATTACTTTCATGTGACCCCCCAGAGTGTCATTTTGATATGTTTCTATATTTTTACTTGGGTTTCTGTGTATGTGTGCATGTGGTGTGGTGAGGGTCAGATGCTGATGACAAGTGCATCTCTTCCCTTTTTTTTTTTTTTTTTTTTTTTTTGAGACATGCTCTCTCTGAGTAGACCAGGCTGGCTTTGAACTCACAGAGATTCACCATCCTCTGCCTCGATAGCAGTGGGATTAAATGCCTGCTCCATTCCTGGCTCAATCTTCCTTTAGAAATAAAATCAAAGCCCAAGGATTGGAACTGAGGAATCACATGACAAACACACATTTGCTGCCTCTGCAGTGCACTGGACCTCAGTTTCTCCTGCATCACCAGCTACAGTGTCGTACACTGAATCTCTGTAACCGTCACCATCGGGGGGTACACTGTTGTTCTCATCCCTGTACACACGGGAAATAGGCTCAGATTAGCAATGCTCCTGGCCCAGGATCACAGAGCATGAGCTGGGGTGTGGTGATATCATGCCATATGGTCTCTTGCTGGGTAGTTTCATGTTAATGTGACACAAGCTGGAGTCATCAGAGAAGAAGGAGTCTCAGTTGAGGAAATGCCTCCATGAGATCTAGTTGTAAGACACTTTCCCAGTGATAGATGGAGGAGGTCCCAGTCCATTGCAGGTGGTGACATCCCTGGGCTGCTGGTCCTGGGTTCTATAAGAAGGCAGACTGAGCAAGCCTTGAGGAGCAAGCAGTCAGCAGCACCCTCCATGGCCTCTGCATCAGCTCCTGCCTCCAGGTTCCTGCTGGAGTTCCTGTCCTGACTTCCTTCAATGATGAATTGAAGCTTGATCTGGAAGCCTAAGCCGAATAAGCCCTTTCCTCCCCAACATTTTTTGGAGGATTGGTTTTTTGAGACAAGGTTTCTGCATGGCCTTGGGTGTCCTAAAACTCACTCTGTAGACCAGTCTGGCCTTGAACTCACAGAGATCCTCCTGCCTCTCCCTCCAGAGTGCTGGGACTAAGGGCATGCACCACGGCTGCCAGACCCCAATTTGCTTTTTGGTCATAGTGTCTATCACAGCAATAGGAACCCTTACTAGGACAGGGACCCACTCTGCTTAATACTGATGGTCAGCTTGACTAACACGGATCTACACTGCTTTACATTGACTGTTGTCTTGACTGATCTAGACTCATCTAGGAGACAAGTGGCACCCACAACTGTAAGGACTGATCTAGATTAGGTCAGCCCCTGGCCACACCTGCTGTACGTTATGTAGATAAGGTTTACTGAGGGTGGAGACCCCAAGGACGGGACAGGATGGGATATAAGCAGTCATCTCTACTCCTGCCACCATGGAAGCTTTGCCCTGGGACTAAGAGCCACATAAGCCCTTCCTCCCTGTCACAGCAATTCGAGGAGTAACTAAAACATTGGTCCACACTGAGTAGCTCAGGGTGCCATGAGCATCGTGTGGGCGCCTTGGGTTCCATGTGGATGCCATGTGCTCTATGTGGGTACCGTTTGGGCTCCATGGGTACGATGGATGCCATGTGGGTGCCGTGGGTGCTATGGGCACTGTGGGCTCCATGTGGGCTCCGTGGATGCCGTGAACTCTGTGGGCACCCTGGGCCCTCACCTCTGTTTGTCCCCAGGACCTGGTGAGAGCGGGAAGAGCACCTTCATCAAGCAGATGCGCATCATCCACGGCGCTGGCTACTCCGAGGACGACCGCAGGGCTTTCCGGCCGCTTGTCTACCAGAACATCTTCGTCTCCATGCAAGCCATGATTGACGCCATGGATCGGCTGCAGATTCCCTACAGCAGGCCTGACAGCAAGGTGAGCCCAAAGACCCCATGCTATGTGATGCTTTCAGAGGCAGAGGAAAAGCATTTCCCAGCCTGGCGTCCCAGGAACATCCAAAGAGCAGCTGAGTCAAATCCACCGAGACGTCAGAAATAAGTTCACTAGGACTTTTTTGTATTTTTTCTTTTTAGTATTTATTTATTTTTAATTTTACTTATGTGTCTGTGCATGTGAGTGCAGTTCCTGCAGAGGCCAGAAGTCAGAAGGTGCTGACTTCCTGGACTGGAGTTACAGTTGTGAACTGATCAATGTGATGCTAGGAACCATGGTGTCAAGCTCCAGCCCTGAAGTCAGTCTATTCATTGGCTGGTATAGAATGGCTGGGCACATTCTGGCCTCTGTCAGCCACACCCCCATTTTTATTACTATTTTATATTTTTAGTTGTGAGCCTAGCCTTTAACGGCTGAGCCATCTCTCTAGCCCCTTATTGCTATTTTAAAAAGCTTTTTGTACACCTGTGTGTGGGGACATTTGTGCAAGCCAGAAGGTAACTTCAGTGAATTCTTCAGTCACTCTCCACCTCTTGGATTTTTCTTGGGGTGGGATGTTGAGACAGGGTCTCTCTGTGTAGCCCTGGCTGTCCTGGAACTCACTCTGTAGACCAGGCTGATCTCCAACTCAGAGATCCACCTGCCTCTGCCTCCCGAGTGCTGGGATTAAAGGCATGTGCCCCCACACTCAGATCTGATGCTTTAATGAGTGTATGTTCCCTAAGTCCGGCACCATTGGAGGCTGGAGGCACTGAGGTCAATGGCACATGCCACCATGTATTCTGGAGTGAATTTCAAATCTGTTTGTGCCATAAACATTTTACCCTCTGAACCAGCTCTCCAGACCTTGGTCTCCTCCTGGGCCCACCCTGATGAAGTCATTTCCAGGGTTCCATCTCAACCTGGGGTCCCAACTTCACCATGTAAATTCTGGGGGTGTAGGGTCCAATTCAGTTACAAACCTTCTGACAGGCCTTTGGGGAAGGGACCACCCCTCACCATTCCTGCCCATTACCCAGGGTCACTCACATGCTCCCCAGCCCAGTGACACCCTCATGACATTGACCACCCAGCCAGGTGGCATTATGAACAACTGGCCCTTCCTAAGATGCCAAGAACAAACAGAGGTACTCTCTGCCTGAGTTCACTTGGGAACCAAGTTTCCTGGGTCACCTCACAGAACATACTAGGGGATAGAGGAGTGTGGGCAATCCTCCCCACAACAAACCCCAGAAAGCCTTACCCATCAGGGATGCCACCCCCCCAGCCTTCCTCAGGCCTCAGACTCCAGGTGTCAGGGAGCAGCTGAGGACTCAGGTGAGGGTCTTGTAAGCCCCCTTCCCTCCATGGTGGGTGGAGACCGGTCAACAGGCCTAGCTAGGATGACCTACCTGCACCCCACACCCTGGAAGACGGGGACTCACGCTCTGCAGGGGAGGGAGCACATGGACTTTTCTTCAAGAGCCATCTGTTCGCCTGGGCCCCCAAAGTCTGCAGGACACAGCGTGGGCAGTACACATCCATGTTCATGAACACCATGAGTGTGAACTCAGGCACAAGATATGCAGAGTGCATTGTGGGGGTGTGAATAAGGCCAGGGTCTGGGGAGCGAAAAGAGACAGCTGTAGCTTGAGCAGGGACAGCGGGGCTGGGCTGGTGATGCCTGCCTGTCCCTCCCAGGGAACCCATGCTTTTCTCTGTGCCTCATTAAAATGGGGACGCTTGTAGTCTCTCACTTCACAGGTGCCCTCCCTCCATCCCTCATTGTTCTAGGACTCCCTCAGCCCGTCTGGGGTCTGACTAGTCCTTGGAGGAGCTCCAGGAGACGTCTTACTGGAGGAGGGACATTGGAATAGGGACACTGGAGGATAAGAAGGAGCTCGTTTTTTACCTCCTCTCCTTGTGTGGGCCAGTGTAGGAAGGGCTGCCGGGCCAGTTAGGCTGGGTCAGAATGGCAGGAGGATGGAAACACGGAAGAGGGGGAATGTGTTTGGTGCCTGCAGCTGCCACAGGCTTCCCGGACCTCTCGCCTCTCCCTCCGCAGCAGCATGCCAGCCTGGTGATGACCCAGGACCCCTATAAAGTGACTGCGTTTGGAAAATCACATGCAGTGGCCATGCAGTACCTGTGGCGCGATGCTGGCATCCGCGCCTGCTACGAGCGCAGGCGTGAATTCCACCTGCTGGACTCTGCTGTATAGTGAGTCTAGGGTTTGTGGGAGCAGGAGAGTTCTGGGTTCAGAGCACTAGGAGGGGCTATAAAAGCGGTAGCCACGGGAGAATGGGCGTGGGGGCGTGGCATGGGGACTTGGCCGTGGGAGGGAGAGGCCCAGGAGGGGAGGGGACCAAGAAGGGAACGGTATGCAAGGGTGTGGCCAGGGTTGGGGCAGAATCTTAGAATGTGTAGCCAGAATGGTGAGGGCCAGGGTGGGTGGGGCCATGGAGAAGAGGGAGGCTGAGTGGCAGCTGCCCTGGCTCCACCCAGCACTCTGAACTCTCCCAGGGGTGGCCACCCCAGAAGTCTGACCCCAAGTCAGGTCAGTATTCTACGGGGGGGGGGGGGGGGGGGCTTAGGCAGACAGCTAAAGTGTTGGTGGAGGTAACACTGGCCTGGGGCTCTCATGGGTCTCCTTGCGTCGGCCCATCCTCACAGGGCCTTCTCCACAGCTACCTGTCACACCTGGAACGCATCGCCGAGGACAGCTACATCCCCACAGCACAGGACGTGCTGCGCAGTCGCATGCCCACCACAGGCATCAATGAGTACTGCTTCTCCGTGCAGAAAACCAAGCTTCGGTGAGCACCCAGCAGAGGTCTGGCGGGTGGCAGGGCAGGGCAGGGCAGGGCAGGGGAGGGGGTCCTTCTAGGAGAAACAAAGGAGCTAGTCCTTGAGGAATGGATGGTCAGACGAATGGGTGGATAGATGATAGAATGTGTGGATGGGTGTGTGGGTGAATGGGTGGATTAGGGGCTGGGTGGGTGGGTAGGTGATTTGTAATCGGTGAAGAATGGTGCCTGGCTTGGCAGCACATGGGAGGCAGAGCTAATTGTGGTCTTTCTTTGAGGGATGATGGAGCTGTCTGGTCTGGCATAGAAATTCACAAATGAGCTGTGGCTCCCAGTGACCTGGGTTACAGATTGAGGAAGTGATAGGGAAAGTATATCATTGTTTGTCTGGTGTCTCCAGTGTGTGTGTGTGTGTGTGTGTGTGTGTGTGCGCACGCGCGCGATGAGACAGGTCCTTCTCTGCTCTGTATTCTCAGGCTAGCCTCAAGCTCAGAGCCTTTTTCTGCTCCTGCCTCCTCAGAGCTGGGGCATGCCACTATGCTGGGCTTGGCCCTCACTTTTGAGTGACACTGCTTGTACTGGAAAGGTGGTTATGGGACTTTGAGTCATGTGACTGTGAGCTTTCAGATGTCTGCTGAGCCTGCCTCAGTTTCCCCTTCTGTTCCCTCCTTTATCTGAGGATTAGTGCTGTACTCTGAGTAATATCTACTGCTCAGGAAGGTGACAGTCAGATCCATATCAGTGACCCAGTTTCTGAGAACCCACAGGAAGGGGTGATGGTCTTTGCTTTTGTTGTGGTTGTGGAAGGGAGGGTGTGCCCTCCTTGAGCTGCAGAGGGGCCACGTCCATTCTGGGACTCCTCAGAAGACACAGTGGCACTCTACTGATGGGAAAACCAAGTCTGAGGAGGTGTGACTAGAACTACAACCTTCTGTTGGTTGGGTCCGGGTTCACGGATAGATGGTGTCGTCTCTTGGCCCCACAGCTCAATATCCTTGTTGTCTTACACATTCCTGACACTGATTAATTAAGTTTTTAATTATGTGAGTGAGCATATGGAGGTCAGCTGTGATTGTGCACATGAATGCAGTACCCACAGAGGCCAGAAGGGGGTGTCAGATCCCCTGGAACTGGAGTCACAGATTGCTGTGAGGGTGCTGGGAACCGAACCCAGGTCCTCTGCAGAGGCAGCCAGCGTGCTAACCGCTGAGCCATCATCCCTCCTTCCCCCATGAACCTGATGTTGATCATTGTGTCATAAAGAACATGCAGGCCTGTGCCAAGAAAGAACCTTCTGTAGTTTCTGTATGTGGGTATGAATGTGTGTGTGTACATGTGTGTAGAGAGAGGTCAGAGGTTGGGGTTGGGTTGCCCATCACTCTTACCTTATCCTGGTGGCACAGGATCTCCCACTGAGCCAAGCACTCACTATCCACCCAGGCCCAGCATTCTCCTGTCCCAGCCTCCCATTGATGATTGCAGGTGCATGCTGGGAATTCAAAATCACACACATTTCTTGCCTAACAAGCAGTTTTAGCCACAGGGCCGACTCCCCGGCTCTGCGGTTTCTATGCTGATTGTCATATATATGGTGAGGGACAGACCTCATTCTGTAGTTCAGGCTGGCCTTAAGCTCACTCTGTAGGCCACCCTCACTTATGGCAATCCTCCTGCCTCACCTTTGTGAGCATATTGTAACAGGCATGCAGCAGGCCACACAGCTGTGTAGTCTTCCTTTGATCCGATGGCGACAGGTCTCATGACCCTGGTGCATCTAGGTCTACAATGCTAGTGAGCAGGGACCAGGTCATGTGACCTATCAATGGCGGGGGTCTCTTGGTTTCTCTTCAGAATCGTGGATGTTGGTGGCCAGAAGTCGGAGCGTAAGAAATGGATCCACTGTTTTGAGAATGTCATAGCCCTCATCTACCTGGCCTCACTGAGCGAGTATGACCAGTGCTTGGAGGAGAATGATCGGGAGGTGAGGGCAACTGTCATCGCAGGCACTGTGCCTTAGGGGGTTGGACCCCTCCTCATACAAGCAGGAAACCCCATGGGAAGCCTGAACAGGAGCAACCTGGTCCCCATACCCAGCACACACAGGTCTCCCAATCTCTGCTGATCCCACCAGGAGCAGATGCTGCCACATCTATGCAGAGATGAGCAGCTGTGGCCAAATGACATCACACCCCAAGTCACACTAGGTACACAACCTCTGCGGGTCACCGTGGACCCCAGTCCTATTGCTAGATAGCCCCTGTGTGGCTCAACATGGAAAACATCTCCTAGGAGAATGGTTCGGTGTCCCCATCATAAGGATGGCTCAATATCTCCTCACCTCCCCCCCCCCGTGTGTGTGTGTGTGTGTGTGTGTGTGTGTGTGTGTGTATATGTGTGTGTGTGTGTATATATGTGTGTGTGTGTGTATATATATATATATGTCACATGGGCTCTCACATACACACAGGCTCCCTCTCTCTCAATCTCTCTCTCTCTCTCTCTCTCACACACACACACAAACACACACACACACACTCATACACACATGGGGGAGCCTTTGCTCGCACTCCCAGCCCTCCTGGCTTGGTTTCCCTTATGTTGTATTAATGGATTTCAGCTTCTATAGCAGCCACTTCCACAGGATATACCAAGGTCCGGTGGCTACTGTGGCCAAGCACAGCAGATCAGGTGGCTTAAAATGGTTCCCAGACACAGTTCTAGGAACCTGAGGTTCCCAGACACAGTTCTAGGAACCTGAGGTTCCCAGACACAGTTCTGGGAACCTGAGGTCAGGGTATGGAAGGGGCTGGCTGGCCCCCTCTGAGACTAGATGCCCATCACATTCAGCATCTGGTATTGTTGACTCATAGGAGTGCGGCCTCCTGTGTGCTCCCTGTGTGATGACCCTGTCGTTGGATTAGATGGCTCTCTGGTGATTTGCAGCTTCACCTCGATCAGTCATACCTGGGAACCCCTATTCAGGTGTTTTATCACTCTAGTGGTCCAGTCGGATGCTGACTTTGGAAGGGTGTCACTCAACTGAGGATGTTGGGTACAGAGTGCTTAGGCGCAGCCCTTCACACAGAGAGGAAAGACCCCCAAGTCTGCATGGCCCCATGGATGAGGGCATCCTGCTGAGGCCACGGCTCACTTCTGTCCCCCACAGAACCGCATGAAGGAGAGCCTGGCACTGTTCAGCACAATCCTAGAGCTGCCCTGGTTCAAGAGCACCTCAGTTATCCTCTTCCTCAACAAGACAGACATATTGGAGGAGAAGATCCACACTTCGCACCTGGCCACATACTTCCCCAGCTTCCAGGGTGAGTTGTTCTAGAACATTCTATATCTTTCATCTCCCCAAAGCATCTCCCCAGGGAGAATCTTGTCCAAGGCTCACCCCTTATCTGGGTTCACCAGAAGTTTCAAAGAGAATAAGGAGTTGTTGCCAGCCTGGCTACTTCTGATAGTTCATGAGCCTGTGCAATGGAGATTGAGAAGTTCTATAGAAATCTATTTCTAGCTGGGTGTTGGTGGTGCACGCGTTTAATCCCAGCACTCAGGAAGCAGAGGAAGGTGAATCTCTGTGAGTTCCAGGCCAGCCTGGTCTACAGAGCGAGTTCCAGGACAGCTCCAAAGCTACACAGAGAAACACTGTCTTGGAAAAAAACAAAACAAAACAACAACAAAAAAACCAAAACAAAAATAAATCTATTTCTAAACCAGGTATGGTGGCACACAACTTTAATCCCAACAGACAGGAGGCAGAGGCAGGAAGATCATTGAGTTGGAGGCCAGCCTGATCTATAGAGTGAGTTCCAGGACAGCCAGAGTTAAACAGAGAAGCCCTGTCTCAAAAAACAAGAACAAAACATCTATTTCTGTTTTCATAGAGGTGGAGACTGCAGTGACTTGAACATGGTAGTCAGGAGCTCCATCCTGACCACGCCCCCAGCCCCTCACTGGGGGATTCTAGGCAGGGCTCCACCCTGACCACACCCCCAAACCCTCTGGTGCGGGGGGGGGGGGGGGATTCTAGGTTGGGCTGTCCTGTGGATCCCCACCTCCGTTCTGTGCTATAGTTTTCATAGTTTCATCAACCCTCTTTCGATAACATCCAATATGTTAGTCCTGGCTGTCCTGGAACTCACTCTGTAGACCAGGCTGGCCTCAAACTCACAGAGATCCACCTGCCTCTGCCTCCTGAGTGCTGGGATTAAAGGCGCTGCCAACACCACCTTCATTACACTGGATATTAATACAGACATATATGGCAAACCTAAACAAAACATTGGAAGGTCACCTTCCACAAAGCAAGGCAAGCCCAAAGCAGCTAGGGCGAGACCACTGTTTACCTTCCCTCAGACCCTTCCTGGAAGGGTGGTGGGCATTTGGAGAGCTGGGAAGTCACAGAGGTAGAAGGGTCTGCTCTGTTGGGAGGATCCATCATAAACGTTCTGGTTTGGAAGGGCCATTTTGACTGGCTCAAGAACTCATGGCCAGGAATTTGGTCTTCTTCCTCTCTGTAGCTTTTGAGACAGGGTCTCACTGTGAATCTCTGGCTAGCCTTCAACAACCCCAATACCTGCCTCTGCCTCCGGAGTGCAGGAATTGAAGGTGTATGCCACCCCTCCCAGCCCAATGATCAGAGTGCTGAGCTAGGTAAATTTGCCTCCACTGCCAAGTGGCTGGGACCAGAGAGACTTCATTGCATGCCTTCTCCCAGGAGTCTTGTGCTGTGTGCACTGGGAAGTCAGCTCCTCACCCTTGCCATTCCCCTCTTGCTACCCTCACAGTGGGGCTGACCCTGAGTGGCCAGAAGTTCAAGCAGGGGTTGGGCATCTATATTGATCAAGCCTCAGGGATGTCCATTGCATCCATCACAGTTGATGGACCAACCCAGGTTCAGCAGGAGGGGAGCTGCTCTACCTAACCTTGGAGGGCAGGAAGAGGCAATGTTGGCTGTCTTGGAGCCAGGCTCCCTAGCTTTGTGTGGTTGCTGTGACAGAAGACTGTATTCAGGACCCTAAACCACAGATGAATCTCCTGACAGTTTAGGAGACAGGAGATCTGAAATCAGCCAGCATGGAACACCCACTCAGGATAGGGCCACAATCTGCAATGTGGAACAGACAAGGTTCTGGGAACGCTTTTACCTCAACCTTCACCCAGCCATGGTTCAGGCTTCGTCCATGCTTGACACCAGGTCAAAGGTCACTCAAATTCAACTTCGGCGAACTCTGGTGCCAGTATTTGACCACTGGCTCTGTCATAGTTGAGAGCCCCAAAACCCTGCCATTCTGTCATATTCCTCAAGGCAGAGTGGGTGACAGTCATGAAGTTCGGGTCACTCTCCAGCCTCCTAGTCCATCTTAGTCAAGAAGTCCTGAGATCCAAGCTGTGGCCTGGAGAGTCTGAGAAGGGAAAATGGGTGGTTTAGAGAGACTGTTTTCAACACAGGGCTGGGCCAGTGTCTTGGTCACTGTTCTTGCACTGTGAAGAGACACCATGACCACAGCAACTCTTATAAAAGAAAGATTGTATCAGTGGCTTGTTGACAGTTTCAGAGAACCGGTAGTCTGCAACATCATGGCGGGAAACATACAGGCATGGTGCTGGAGGAGAAGCTGGGAGTTTCACACCCTAATCTATAGGCAGCAGGCAGAGAATGAGAACAGGCCTGGTGGGGAGAGATGACGGCCTACTTTTGAACTCTCAAAATCAGTAGCTAGTCTCCTACAAAATAGTCATGCCTCCTACAAGGACACACCCCTCCACCAAGGAGCACCCCTCCAACAAGGACACACCCCTCCAGCAAGGACACGCCTCCACCAAGGACACACCTCTCCCCACCAAGGACACACCCTTCCCCACCAAGGACACACCCCTCCACCAAGGAGCACCCCTCCAACAAGGACACACCCCTCCAGCAAGGACACACCCCTCCAACAAGGACACACCCCTCCAGCAAGGACACACTCCTCCAACAAGGACACAGTCTTACTCTCCCCAAACAGTTCCCCAGTCAGGACCATTCTCATTCAAGCACTGCAGACAGACCCCTGACCTTTCTCCGTGTTTTGCTTTCTGTGACAATTTTCTCAGTTACTTGCTTAAAGACTGAAATGCCCTGAGGATGTAGCTTGATGTTAGGGTGCTTGTTCAGCAAGTGAGAGATCCTGGATTTTTTTCTTTCTTTTTTTTTAATAGTCTCTTTGTTTTTAAATAATTTATTTAATTTTATTTTATGTGCATTGGTGTGAGGGTGTCAGATGCCCTGGAACTGGAGTTACAAGCAGTTGTGAGCTGCCATGTGGGTGCTGGGAGTCGAACGCAGGTCACTGGAAGAGCAGCCAGTGCTTCGTGAGAGGCTGAGTTTGAATCCCCAACAACATAAGTAACTGGGCATTGTGCTATGCTGACAGGAGGGCCCGAGGCTCCTGGGACAGATAGCCTAGGTCAATCAGTGAGCAGCACATTCAGTGAGCCAGTCTCAGAAAAGAGCTACACCAGAGACAGCCCTCTGCGCATGCGCCTGCATGTACCCACAGAGTACTAGACGAAAATTCACTGCACTCTGGCCGGATCAAAAACTCTCACTTAAAAACCAAAACAACCATGTAGAAAGGGCACCTTCCATTGCAGAGATGGGGAAACTGAGGCACAAGAGGCTTAGTCACTGGCTAGCCAAGCCAGTGAGGAACTGACACAGGTTGTAACCACAGGAGGAGGCTGCCAGGTCCTGCTGTCTGTCTTTGCCTCATTCCCTCCGGACAGACCTTCTCACCGGAGCCTCTGCACCCCTGTACATGTTGAACTCAAGTCCTAATGCTTGGCAGCAAGCAGTCTTACTCTGTCCTCAAAGCAGGATTTGAACCCACAACGTTTGCACCGGAGCCTCTCCCCCTCCCACCCCGCTCTGTCCCACCCCACCCCAATGTGACCTCCACTTTTCCCAAAGAAGACTGACAGGTCTGGGGAGAAACGCGTGACCGAAAAACCCAGGTCTCACACCTTGACCCTCAATTCCTTAAGCTCAGCCTCATGCCATGTGACTCTTACTCCTCATTCCGGTTGGCTGGGATGAGAAAGATGGTGCTTGGCCTCAGTAAAGATGGCAGGAGTAGCTCTGGACCCCTCAAGGCTGTCCCCAGCAGTCCCCAGCACCGCACAAATCCAGCCTGATGCCATTAGCCCATCATCCCAGCACTGGGGAAGTGGAGGCAAGAGGGTCAGGAGTTAGAAGCCATCCAGGGCTACAGCATGACCTAGAGGCCAGCCTGGGCTACATAGAGGGTTTGAGGCCAATCTAGGCCACATAGAGAGTTCAAAGCCAGCCTGGGTCACAAAGGGATTTCAAGGCCATCCTGGACCTTATAGAAGATTAGAGGCCATCCTGGGCCATATACAGGAGCTGAGCTGACCCCACCCCTCTCCGCAGGTCCCCTGCGGGACGCCGAGGCTGCCAAGCGTTTCATCATGGACATGTATGCGCGCGTGTACGCAGGCTGCGCGGAGCCCCACGACGGCGGCAGGAAGGGATCCCGTGCGCGCCGCCTCTTTGCACACTTCACCTGTGCCACGGATACGCACAGCGTCCGCAGCGTGTTTAAGGATGTGCGGGACTCGGTGTTGGCCCGGTACCTGGATGAGATCAACCTGCTTTGATGCAACTCACCTGGCCTCAGTTTACCTACCGGGCGGGGCCAGGACGTCCTGTGGGGCGTTGTCGTAGCAAGGACATGGCGCTCCCTGGCGGCCACGCAAGGAACTGCAGTGCGAGGGCTCCCCCTCGTGGCTCCAGGCCCCACAGGTCTGCAATTCATTCCCTCCTTCTAGTTCTTGGAGAAAGGACAGCAGTTGGGCCTTTAACCCCGGGGAACTTGGGAGGCAAAGGCAGGAGGATGTCTGAGAGTTCCAGGACTGCCCTGCGTCAAAAAACAAAACCCCGACACAAAGAAACCCTGTCTCGAAAAACCAAAACAACAGCAACAACAAAAAACAAAATCAAAATCAAAAACCTAACAAGACCAGATAGAACCACTCCGAGGACCTATGACTTCCCAGGGGTCCTGTCCACATCTTCCGGTGTGGTCTTCACCCTGGGGTACAGGTGATGGTGTAAGGGGGGGGATAGAGAGGAAGTTCTACTTGTTGTCTGCCCACTCATGGGACCGAGGTAGACAACAGCCAAAGACAGTTTTGGCATACACACAGTTGTGCGTATCTATCCCCATATCTCATCCCACGACACACTACTCAGCTTTGCCCCACGCTTGGTCCCTCCACCACCTCTTACTAAAGGAGACTGGGACGGACGGCGAGATTACTCTGCCCGTGAAGGCACATGCTGCCAAGCCTGACAACTGGAGTTCAGTCCCCAGACCCACTCAGTGGACACAGGGACTGAGTGGCAGAGTTTTTCTCTGACCCTGCAGGTATTCATGGAGATGACACACCTCCCCCACACAAAGAAATAAGTGTAATTAAAAAACAAAAGAGCAGGAAATGAGGAGTAAAGAAATACTGACCCCGCAGCACAAGTCAGAAGGCTGAGGCAGGAGGATTGCAATTTTCTTGTCCTCAGTGTCCCCACAGTCCCCACTGTGAGCCAGGCAGGGGCCATCACACTCAGACTTCAAATCTGGGCTACACGCTGGGGGGTGGGGGTTGGGTACATGGCTCAGGGGTAAAGTGAAGTATGAACACTCAAGTTCGAGTCCCCAGAATCCACCTAGAAGCCAGCACAGTGGTTCATACCTGTCATGTGCTGGGGAGTTGGGGACAGCGAGAGCTGTCAGGACAGCCAGCCGGTCAGTGAGCCGGCGTGGCTGCCCCTGAGAACCGGGTCTCAACCAGGTTGAGTGCCAGCACCAAGGTGGTCTGTGGCCACTAGATTAGACGTGGATCACGGATCAGAGGGAGGACTGCACTCAGGTGTCGGGTGGGATGGGGGCTCAGCGAAGGGAAGGAAGTAGGTTCCGGTTTCTGGTTGGACTCAGATTTTGGATCAGCCTCCCCTCTCCCCCATTTGACACCTGTGATTGACACACAGGCTGGGTCATGCCCCTCCGTGGTCTCATGTTCCAGCCCCTCCCACTTGGCCCCCTGGAGGTGGTGCAGGAAGTGGGGTCCCTACCCACTCCCTGCCATGCCCTTCCTGGAACCCCACTCCCAGAGGTACATTTGACCCCCTCAGGCCAGCTGGCAGAGGATGTGTATGTGCTGGTGACACCCACAGGCCTGGGTCGCGGGTCACAGCCACCCTAGCCCCTGAGAGAGACTGCGCCCTTCCTCAGCTTCTGACTCCATCGCCCCCTGCCCAGGTCCCTGATGTAAACAACCAGATACTGCACAGCAGCCTGCCTGCCTCAGTTTCCCCTCGTAGCAAAGCTGAATGCAAAACCCTCTTTAGTCGGTGCTGCCCAGGAGTTGGAGGTGTTCTCCCACATTGATTAGGCGCCTGTTGTGTTTGGGTGACAGTTATCAAGCACCTGCAGTGTATAGAAGGGTGATGAACGTTTATTAAGCATCCCTAGTACAAGTAACAAAATTTCATTAAGCCTGGTGAGGATGGGTGGGTGACTTCTTTTTTCCCCACTGGGTGACATTAAGCACCTACTCTGTATGGGTGGCACACATTTATTATTGCTGTTGTTATTGTTTTAAGGTCTCTTTAATATGTAGACTAGGCTGGCCTGGAACTCACTGATTAAGCACCAGTGAATGACTCAGTGGACAAAGGTGCTTGGCTGCCAAACCCTGAGGCCCAGAGATCGGTTCTGGGGCCCACATGGTGGGAAGGGAAGAGCTGACTCCCATAAGTTGCCCTCTGACCTCCACCACCTCCATCCCTGACCTGACATGTGCACGTCCCCACACACCATAAATTAAAAAAAAAAAAAAAAAATGAGTGTGTAACAAAACTTAAAATACAAAACAAAACAAAATCCATGGACCTGCTGTGCACCGGTGGTACGCAATGTGCTTGGATTTTGGATGACATTACCCTGGCTGACAAACATTTATGATGGACCTTCTGTGTACGGTGACCAGCGTTTAGTATGCACCTGCGGCATATAAGCTGGCTGGGAGACAGTTGGTTCTTGGGACTGGGCAGGCGCCAGACAGTGCCCATTGTCCTACTGTGATACCCCCTCCCCAAGTGCACTGTCTCCCATCCTCGGGACATGGGGGGCACTGAGCAGAGGGGGTGACAGAGGGCTCATCCTGCCCCCCTTAACGGTTGTTCAGGATGCCCCTCCCTGCCCTAGCCTCACCCCCACCCACCCAGGGGCACCTTGAACATACATAACAGGAAATTTCAAACAACAGGAAACCCAGGCCAGGCTGCGACTCCACCCTGCCAGGGGCCTCTCTCAGTATGTCCCCGGGGGAGGCCATGAACATCAGCACCTGGTCCTGTCACCGACTGGCGGCCAGCGGTCACAGCCTCCTCATCGTCCTGCACTACAACCACAGTGGGCGGCTGGCCGGCCGCGGGGGCCCTGAGGACGGTGGCGGGCTGGGGATGCTGCGGGGGCCGTCGGTGGCGGCCGGTTGCCTGGTGGTGCTGGAGAACGCAGTGGTGCTGGCCGCCATCGCCACCCGCATGCGGTCGCATCGCTGGGTGTACTACTGCCTGCTGAACATCACTCTGAGCGACCTGCTCACCGGCCTGGCCTACCTAGTCAATGTGCTGCTGTCGGGGACCCGCACCTTCCAGCTGTCCCCTGCGCACTGGTTCCTGCGGGAGGGCCTGCTCTTCATGGCCCTGGCTGCGTCCACCTTCAGCCTGCTCTTCACGGCGGGGGAGCGCTTCGCCACCATGGTACGGGTGGCCGAGAGCGGGGCCACCAAGACCAGCCGCGTGTACGGCTGCATCGGGCTGTGCTGGCTGCTGGCAGCCACGCTGGGCCTACTGCCCCTTCTGGGCTGGAACTGCGTGTGTGCCTTCCCACGCTGCTCCAGCTTGCTGCCCCTCTACTCCAAGAGCTACGTGCTCTTCTGCGTGGTGGTCTTCGCCCTCATCCTGGTGGCCATCCTGGGCCTCTACGGGGCCATCTTTAGGGTGGTCCGGGCCAATGGGCAGAAGTCCCCGCGTGCTCCAGCCCGTCGCAAGGCCCGTCGGCTGCTCAACACGGTGCTGATGATCTTGGTGGCCTTCGTGGTGTGCTGGGGTCCCCTGTTCTGTTTGCTCCTGGCTGACATCTTCGGTTCCAACGTCTGGGCCCAGGAGTACCTGCGTGGCATGGACTGGATCCTGGCCCTGGCCGTGCTCAACTCGGCCATCAACCCCCTGATCTATTCCTTCCGCAGCCGTGAGGTGCAGCGCGCTGTGCTGGCCTTCCTCTGCTGTAGCTGCCTCTGGTTAGGCCTGCGGGGTCCTGGTGACTGCCTGATCCGGATCACCGAGGTCCACTCTGGTGCATCAACCACTGACAGCTCACTGAGGACCAGGGACAGTTTTCGGGCTTCCAGGTCACTTAGTTTCAAGATGCGAGAACCGCTGTCCAGCATTTCCAGTGTCCGGAGCACTTAGAGCTTGGACCAGCCAGTTGCCAGAGCAAGTGTTGCACTGGCTCTCCCGGGAGAGGTGAGAAGAGACCCTACACACGATCCTGGCCTGACCTAATGCTGACAGGAACATACCAGCAGCAGGTCCTCGGGACCGTCCATGGAGCCTCCCCATACCTGGCAGAGCAGAGAGTGGCCAGAGCCAGATCTGGTGGGTCTAGGCCTCCATCTGGGCCTCACCTTCACCAGGAGGTGAAGGGGACATTCCACATCTGAGTTCACTTACAGGACAGGGCACTGTGGTTCTCTCTCAGTCGTGTGTGTGTGTGTGTGTGTGTGTGTGTGTGTGTGTGGTCGGTGTGTGTATGGGGGGCTGCTGTAACACGTCACGTTGTCAGACCCAGGGGTGCTGGGGGTGCTGCCCTGTTTGTCTGGGGGCAGCCACCTTACAGATATGTTGCAAGAAGGAGTGGGGGTCAGGGGACACACAAGTCAAGCATCCCTCTCTGCAGTGACTTCCCCACTGGAACAGGCAGCCCACCCCCCTGGCCTCCTGTCTCCAGTTCAGCTTCTCTGTGTGAGGAGAACGGACCCACCCATGCCAGGTCTGGGGCAATATCTAGACCTGGTCCTGTAACCCTGTGGCCTCACCCTTCCGTTTCCGAACCATGGTGAAGTGCTGTGATGGGCACTATGGACTCCACAGCACAGCCACGAGCCATGCATGACTGGGTAAAATTCATTAAAAGGAAGGAAACCTGCACATTTGGTTTCTCGGTGTTTTGTAACTAAGTCTGCCTGATGGTGACGTTAAGGATGGAAATGACAGTTCTGGGTGGGAGAAATCCAAGGTCCTGGCACACATCTTTTGATTTTCTACACTTCTAACTCTGATGGGCTTTAGACTGTGCTTTCTCACTTAAGGCCATCAGGGAACACAGTGTTTCCACGTTCTCCACAAGCTTGGAGCACTCTTCTAAAGCCAATGCATACCTTACTCAAAGTCGGTTCATGCCTGTTCTCATATTGAATTCTTCTTACCTGCGTCTGATGGTGAGTGGGTGGCAGTGTTTGGTCATTTATTTCTTATTTACTGTATTCCTAGAGGTGTGAGTGACATACAGTTTTAATTCACACCTTAAATTTCCTAACCCGAGTCACTGGGACTGTTTAAATCCATAGCAATATTGGGTACTCAGAAATTAGATTTGAAATTACAATAGAGAAACCAAAAATTTTAGGTTTATGTCCCAAACATGAACAGGGATAATAAAAACCTCCCTCCATCACACTAGTCCCACGCCCTTGGTAACAATTTCCCCACTGTCACTAAAGCCAGTGCCAATTCCTGCCCTACCTAACCTTACTACCTGCCCCAAATTTCACTATTTTTTTTTTTTTTTAAGGGCTCTTTTTATTCATTCACCTCAGAATCTTGTATACACCCACCGGATGCCACATCTTGTGATTGGGGCTTCAGGCAACTTCAAGACCAAGATCACATCTGTTTGTTTGTTTGCTTGCTTGTTTTGCGCCTTTTAACCCCCTCCCCTTTCAGAGACAACAGAGCGACTCCAGTTCCCATAACCCTTTGTGCTTGCCCTACAGAACTACCATTCCTAGGAAAACTAAGACACCAGCCGGGCACTTTCTCATGTCTCACTACTTCCTTCCGGGTCGCAAGGGCACGTTCTGCACTTTCGGGCTTTGAGCTTTCTTCTCACTAAAGAAACTAAACACACGGCTTAAGCAAGCTTTACTGAAAATCATTTTTAATAGTTTTTAGTAGGTGTCTTACAACTTTGAATTTATGTGTTCAGTAGAGGTAGACTGACATTTAGCTTCGTTCTAGGAGCGCCACAATGGAAATACAACTCCCAGGGTGCTTCGCGCTCAATGACTCCCACAGCTCCTGAGAAGCCTGAGCGCGAGTAACAAACAGTGTGCCTACAACTCCCAGGGCTGCCCCGCGCGCCTTTTATAGCGGTGCTCACGGGAAAGACTACATTTCCCGGCAGGCCGCGCGGCGCATAGAGCCGTCCGTAGCGTTGCCCGAAAGACCCTTGGGCAGGCGTGGGCTGTTCGAGGCTCTGCCCGAAGGACCTGAGCGGCCGCCCATGCCGAGCTGAGTCCGCGAAGCCCGCATAGCTTCCCGTCGCTGTCTGCTGCCGCCTGTGCGGCCTGCCGCCCGCCGGGATGCTGGAGGAAGCGGGCGAAGTGCTGGAGAACGTGCTGAAGGCGTCGTGCCTGCCGCTCGGCTTCATCGTCTTCCTGCCCGCCGTGCTGCTGCTCGTGGCGCCGCCGCTGCCCGTCGCCGACGCCGCGCACGAGTTCACCGTGTACCGCATGCAGCAGTATGACCTGCAGGGCCAGCCATATGGTGCGCGACCCCTGACCCGGTACCCTGTCGCCACCATCCCCCCCCCCCACTGCCATGCCGAGGACTCCCCACTGTTATCCCATCTACCCACTGACACACTGATCCCCTTCCCGGCAACCCCACCCCGCCCTGTCCCCTCTGCCCCCTTGCTGTTACACCGACTGCTGTCACCCTGCCTCATCATCTCCACCTTGATTCCCGCATCTCCTTATACTCCCCTATCCCAGGTCACCCTGAACCCTCTCTGTCACTGGTTATCCCAGACCTCTCCCAGGCACGCTGTCCTAATCCCGGGGCCTTGGTTCCCCCAGCACCAGCTCTCTGTTCCTTTGCTCCCTGCCCCTCGCTCGCTAGGGTTCCCTGGGGTCTCTGTTCTCAAGCCTGGGTCTTGGGCCTTTCAAAGCCTCCCTCCCGTTTCCTGCCTGTGGTATCTGGCCTTCCCTAACCTCTGGTCTTTAGCTTGCCTTCCAGCCTTAATGCTTAGTGTGCCCCTGAGCATCAAGGCCGGGGGACCTCTTATGGAGCATGTGTGCCAGTCTGGATATATGCACTCCATCCTCTTTGAGGACCCCATGAGCCCATGTGTACAGATTATACTTCTCTTTAAAGGAACGTTGCCATGTTGGGGGCCACATGGAGTGGGGTAGAGACAGGGTGGCTGCCCATGTCTTGTAGTGCTCTGAAAGATCGGCCTGGCACCCAGGGCATGGTAGGGTGAGGGTCTCGTCCAAGGTGGTCAGGTGTCCCCACAGGTGTTATAGTCCCCTGTGGCCTGGTATCTTCTGAGTCGTCACCAGCAAAAATGTCCACAGTGGGGTACCACTGAGTGGCTGGGGATACACCCAAGATACCACACGGAGCCAATGGCTACTAAGCTGGGTAGCATAGCTTTTCAGCTCCTAGAGTCTTTCCAGAGCATTTCATGATCCAGGGGGCAGTTCCTAGACCATTCATGCTGTACCCAGTTCACACCCACAGCTTACATCAGCCCCTTGGGTGGGCTGGTATGTGAATAAACTCGTGTTCTGAGTGGACTGTACTGACATACGGCCTTCTCCCCCCATCCTTGGCTGGATATTAACTATGGGGCTTCTGCACTCTCTCTGTGCCCCTGGGGGCCCATGATGGGGCAGCCAGCCAGAGCAGGTCTTGAGAAACCCTGGGCATAAGCCCCTTGGGGGTCCCCTCAGCCCCAAGCTTCTCCCCAGCCTCACTGCAGGTCCTCTTACCCAACTTCCCCTGGGTCTTTTTGAGAAATAAACGACATTGTCGGAAGGGAGGCTTGTGGTAGGGTGTGACTAAGGTCACTATCCCTCCTGCTGTGGACTCTGGCCTCCTTAGGACCTGCCTTCTTGTCATAGTGGAGTTAGGGACTTTGGCATCTTGTCAGCCTCCATAGTAACTCAGTAGCCCTGAGATCTGTCTTCCTCTCACAAGCTTGGAGCCAACTGATGAGGCTTGGCCTCCCCTGTCCTTGTGGATAAAGTTTTATTGACACTTGGTCATAGGCACCAAGCTGAGCAGTCAGCCACACAGAGAAGCCTCCCTTCATGGCAGCCCTGTGCTAACCAATGTTTGCAGAGGGCTGTACTGCAGGGTGGGGCTGGAATCCTGGTTGGCCACAGGCCAGGTCACAGGGCCTGGCTGCCCTCCTGGGGGGACATGGTGGTTTTGGGGAGACCTGGGGATTGGTACCTGGCCAGCACTATACTGGGGCTCCATGTCATATCCCCATGAGGAACAGAGCCAGGTGCACCGTGCCCTGCAGGAGCTCCTGACCTTTTGGGGGACACTGTAAGACCTGACCCTTAGAGGCCAGGAACTGATTGAAGAGAGAGGGGTGTTGCTTATCCCTTTAGTATCCCTACAGGTGTAGGGCAGGACCCTGGAGGGAGTAGGGTGTCTGTGGGGCTCCTGGCCCATGCTGGCTTCCAGGACAGTTGTTCAGAGCAGGCCCCAACCCTACCTTCCAGACTCTGCATTCCTGGAAAGTGAGGGCCAGGCCTCAGCTGACCCTGGGCCTGAGGCTCCCTATGGGTTCAGGTAGTGGACATTTCTAAACTTACTGTGGGGGGAGTCTCAGCCTGTGAGCATCAGATTCCCATCCAGCTGCTGCCCTAGGGTGTAGTTCACCCCATGTGGCTGGAGTGACGGTCACACATGAACTGTCCTAGACCCAGCCACACCATGTCTTTCTCACTCGGGCCTCTGGTGTAGTTTGGGTGTCAGTGCCCAGGTGACTGCCATGGATGCCCCACCATGATCAAGTACCCTCTGCACTGAGCTGTGACCCTCAATCTGTGTAGTTGTTCACTGCCCCACTTGGTCATGTGCATCTAGGGGTGCTGCCTGCCATCACCCTTGTGGCAGTTGAACACGTATGAAGCATCTACTGTATGCTGTGCCACCTAGTCTGGCTGTAAATGGGTCCCAGGACCCAGAGAACTGTAGTTCCTGGAAGGAGCTGCTCACTGTGGCCTGAGGTCCGTTGTGGTTCACCTCTGGCCCAAGCAATGCAGATCCCTAAGGGCCCAGAAGGCCCTCCCAAGACTGTGTGGCAGGTGTCCCATGCCTGTCTCCCAAGAGCCACACCCTCACAGCCTTGTGTGGGGCCGCAGATGGTGTCCACACGCTGGGAGGCTGGCAGCTGTAATGGGTGTGGGGAGCCTGGGTTGTGATGCTGTGACCCTGTGTCCCCCATAGGCACACGGAATGCAGTGCTCAATACAGAGGCGCGCACAGTGGATGCGGATGTGCTGAGCCGCCGCTGTGTGCTTATGCGGCTCTTGGATTTTTCCTATGAGCACTACCAGAAGGCCTTGCGACAGTCAGCAGGAGCTGTGGTCATCATTCTGCCCCGAGCCATGGCCGCCGTGCCCCAGGACGTTGTCCGGGTAAGCCCATACCACCATCCCCATCCCTGCCCCTCTCGGGCTGCTCGCTTTACTTTTCTGAGCCCTGAAGAAGGTGACATGTCTCTGAGGACACTGAGATGGGGGAGCCACCCTGGGGGTGGCTGCAGTCCCCTGAATGCATGCGTTCCCCACAGCAATTTATGGAGATCGAGCCTGAGATGCTGGCTATGGAGACCGTGGTCCCTGTGTACTTTGCCGTGGAGGATGAAGCCCTACTGTCCATCTATGAGCAGACCCAGGCTGCCTCTGCCTCCCAGGGCTCTGCCTCTGCTGCTGAAGGTGAACCAGGCTACCAGAGGGTGTGATTTGTCCCCGTGTCCATGGCAGGGGCTGTCCTGGCCTCTGTGTGCAGTCTCCACCCCAGCTGTGGCCCTGGCCATAGGCCCAAGTGACTGGTCCCCTTCTGTCCCCAGTGCTACTGCACACAGCCACAGCCAATGGTTTCCAGATGGTAACCAGCGGAGCCCAGAGCCAGGCAGTGAGTGACTGGTTGATCACCAGCGTGGAGGTGAGTGCCTGCTATGCTGCTCCCCAGCCTGCCCCAGGGCCTTTGCACAGGCGATGCCCTTATCCCCAAAGTCCAGTCATGCCTCTGCCACATGAAGGTAATAAAAGAAAAACAAGGGGTTAGGAGTATTCAAGGCTGCGGGACAGGTGGGCCGGACTGGCACGCAGGCTACAGAAAGCATCTGGAGCATTCCACAGCTAGTGTGATAAGATAAACAAGCTGTGGTTCTTGCAGGCATGTGAAGGGTTTGGGGTAGGGGCAGACTTACTGTGCAAGCCGGCATCATGACCCTGTGCCTGCCCTGGGGGGAGGGGACTGAGCGGAACATCAGCTGCAGGTACACCAGAGCCAGGCTGTGTTGAACATCTGGGATCCATCAGTCTATCGCTGTCTCTCCACAGGGACGGCTGACAGGGCTGGGAGGTGAAGATCTCCCCACCATTGTCATTGTTGCTCACTACGATGCCTTTGGGGTGGCCCCGGTAAGTACCTGGTGTGCAGGGCCAGGAAGGGATGGGGACACCTTGCAGGCACAGCAAGGCAGGGCAGTGGCTGCCAGCTGCTCTGGGCACCACAGCATCAGGGGATGCAGGGTGGGACCCAGAACACCCACCCTGTGGTGACCGCAGCAATTTTTATTAAAAGATTACTTGTAGTTTCGGAGGCTTAGTCCATTGTCCATCATGGTGGCAGGCAGATGTGTCATGGATAAGTAGCTAATCGCTCCATCCTGATGTGCAGACCAATAGAGACAGACAGACTGGGCCTGGCCTGGGCTTTTGACACCTCACAGCCCACCCTCAGTGACAAACTGCCTCCCCAAGGCACCACCTCCTAATCCCTCTCAAGTACTGCCACTCCTAGGGACCAAGCATTCAGATGCAAGACCCTCTGGGGCCATTCTTTTGCAAAGTACCACATTTGGCCCCAGTGCCATCAGGTCCCCAAGCCTTAGCCTGTCTGTCTGTCCCCAGTCTCTGAGGGCAATCTGTCCCAATCACCTATGATTTTCCTTTGTTTGAGATTATCTCTCTGAAAGCTGTGGCTGTCCAGAACTAAGAGAAATCCTCCTGCCTCAGCCTCCTGAGCTGGGGTTAAAGCATGGCCACCTTGCTCAGGCCAGTGGGTTTTCATGTCTGTCTTCTACCCGATTGTTCCCTGGGGTGTGGCACTGAGTGGGCGGGCCTGGCCTGCAGGAAGAGTAACTGATGGTCGTCTGCCCACAGTGGCTGTCGCTGGGCGCTGACTCGAATGGTAGTGGCATCTCAGTGCTGTTGGAGCTGGCTCGCCTCTTCTCGCGACTCTACACGTACAAGCGTACACACGCAGCGTGAGTGCCATCGTGGGGACAGTCCTCAGGCCACCCACCCCACTGTCCATCCCACAACTGGGTACCGCTGGTCCCTGGAAGGGATGTGCCATCTGGAAGTGGCTGCAGCCTGTCTTCCCCTCTGCTGCAGACACTCCTGAGGGCTGCTCTGTGGGAGCACCCTGGCCCTGGCCTCCACCCACTCCGTGCCACAGTTGTGACAGTCAGGTGTCCTGAGGTTCCCACTGCTCAAGATTACCTATGTGTCCATGTGAGAGTGGCTTTCATGTTTGAAAGCTGGGGCACACAGGGTGGCCCTGGGCCATGAGTCTGCAACCCTGACAGGTGGCAGCCATGTGCCAGTTCTTAGCCTCCTCTTGGTCACAGGGCGGCTGTGCTACAATAGATGGGGCTGAGGGGAGCATCCATTGTTCTTGCCCACCCCAGCTATGTCTGTCCCTCGTGAACAGTCAGCAGTACAAGCCAGGGACGACCTGGGTTCAGCGGCTGCTCTGTTATGCCATCACTGGGTGGCTTGGCTGTGGTTCCCAGGCAGATGAGGGTGTGGAGCTCCTGTGAGATTCAAGGTCCTTCTAGGCAAGGTGTGCATCAGCTGGTCCTTGGCATCCAGGGATGTGGGAGCCCGGGGACAGAGTGATAGTCTGGGCTTCTCTATGTGAATGTCCTTAGCAGCCTCCCCTGGAGGCCTCTGTGACATCTGGGGACACATATGACCTTCATGTTTGGGGGTCCCCTGGCCTGGTGTAAGAGGGTGTTATCTGATGGTACATCTGGAGAGATCTGGAGTTTCCATGCATCCAGTCAGGGACCTTCAGCTTAGCCATAACACCCACATCTGCAGGTACAACCTACTGTTCTTTGCATCCGGAGGGGGCAAGTTCAACTACCAGGGCACCAAGCGCTGGCTGGAGGACAGCCTGGACCACACAGGTGGGCGGGACATGGCAGGGCAGGGTGGTGGGAGCTGCCTGAGTGGGTGGGACATGGCAGGGCAGGGTGGTGGGAGCCGCCTGAGTGGGCGAGGCCTGACGCCCCTGACCCCGGCCTGCCCGGCAGACTCAAGCTTGCTGCAGGATAACGTGGCCTTTGTGCTGTGCCTGGACACTGTGGGCCGAGGCAGCCACCTGCGCCTCCACGTGTCCAAGCCTCCTCGGGAGGGGACGCTGCAGCACGCCTTCCTGCGTGAGCTGGAGATGGTGGCTGCGCACCAGTTCCCTGATGTCAGCTTCTCCATGGTGCACAAGAAGATCAACCTGGCGGATGATGTGCTGGCCTGGGAGCATGAGCGCTTTGCCATCCGCAGGCTGCCCGCCTTCACGCTGTCACACCTGGAGAGCCACCGCGCAGGACCCCGAAGCAGCATCATGGATGTGCGGTGAGCTGGCAGCCGAGTGCAGGGCCTCCTTGAATATGGCTTCCGGGACTCGGGTTCCCTTGGGGGGGTTGGGGGATAGGGAGTGTGTAACCACCCACAGGAGCTTCCGTAGGGGAGACAAGCCACCTTCCAGGTCTTTCCTGGGTACAGGCATCCCCTAGAACCTTCCATGGGCCACATTTTGATAGAATGCCCTTCAAAACCTATGAGGGGCACCTTGTAGAATCTTCCATGGAAGGGGAGGGGTGGTGGCACCTGCTGTGGGGGTCAGGTTCTAGGATCTTCTCTGGGGCTTCCTCCTAGAACCTACTGTAGGGACACCTTTCAGCTCCTTACAAGAAGAAAACTGGGCTGGGGCATAAACCACTACTACTGACCTTCCTTGAAGGGGAACAGAACCATCTTCTGGAACTTTCCATGGGCTGGCCGTAGCTGTATGGCCACATGGAGCAGGGTGTGGGTACTTGTCCAGGGTGGTGGTGGGGCAGGAGTCAGGACAAGCTATGGGAGGCCAACAGCTGGTCACACACCTGTAGCCAGCAGTGAGGAGCAGAGACCTGGACCCACTCAGGCGGGCTGCTGGCTTGAAAGTTTACTTGCCCACCCCTTCCCAGGCCCTACAGATGATACCCTATCCCCACAACGGGCCTGCAGCTCCCCCGCCACATTGGGCCTTGGCTGTCCTGTCTGGTGTCCATGACCAGACACTCCTTGGTCACCAGCTATCCTCAGAGCCCAGGGACAGGGACGGCCCTGCCTGTCTGAGGGCCCAGGGACAGGGACGGCCCTGCCTGTCTGAGAGGCCTATCCCTGTGTTCTCAAGGTCCCGGGTGGACTCTAAGACTCTGACACGGAACACGCGGATCATCGCTGAGGCCCTAACTCGGGTCATCTATAACCTGACGGAGAAGGTGAGCCATCTGTCTCTGTCCTTGTCTGTGTGGCCCCACAGCGCTACTGGGCTGCCTCACACCCTGTCCCCTCCCTCTGCAGGGGACGCCCCCGGACATGCCAGTGTTCACGGAGCAGATGGTACAGTGTGGGCATGGGGTGGGGCCACAGGGACCTCTGTTGTGACCCCTGTGTGACCCTAGCCTGCACCTGCCCCTAGCAGGTCCAGCAGGAGCAGCTAGACTCAGTCATGGACTGGCTCACCAACCAGCCTCGGGCCGCCCAGCTGCTGGACAAGGATGGGACGTTCCTGAGTACACTGGAGCACTTTCTGAGCCGCTACCTGAAGGACGTGCGACAGCACCATGCAAAAGCTGACAAGCGGTAAGCAGCCGGGCAGGAGTCCCTGGGTGCCCATTGCCTTGCCCCAGCCAGGGAGATATAGGTTAAAGCAGAAGACAAGGACAAGGGTCAGCATGGAAGTTTCTAGCCCCCTTCGAGGCTATTACAAAAATATTTTAAAGCTGGTCAGTGGTGGCACACACCTTTCATCCCAGCACTCACAAGGCAGAACAGGTGTCTCTCTAATTTCAAGGCCAGCCTGGGCTACAGGGAGAGTTCCAGGACAGCCAGGGATACACAGAGAAACCCTGTCACAAAAACAACAAACACACACATGCACAATATTTTTAGCTTTCTGAATTGAGCTGTTGATCTGTAGTCTGGGTAGGCTCTCTTCGACAGAGCCTTGGTCAGGGGGAGGCTCTGAGCAGGGTTGTCTCTCGGCAGGGACCCTGAGTTTGTCTTCTATGACCAGCTAAAGCAGGTGATGAGTGCATACAGGTAAGTAGAGGGCTGCAGCCAAGGGGCCTCCATCTGCGGGGTGACCAGTCTGCGTCCTTGACCCCACCGACTGTCCTTCAGGGTCAAGCCAGCCATCTTTGACCTTCTGCTAGCCGTGTGCATTGGGGCATACCTCGGCTTGGCGTACACGGCCGTCCAGGTGAGCTGCTGTGCAGGGAGCTGGGGGGGGGGCAGGGTGGCTCTCTGGAGTCCCTGTCCCTAATGTGCTGTGTCCCCCACCAGCACTTCCATGTGCTGTACAAGACTGTGCAGAAGCTGCTGCTCAAGGCCAAGGCACAGTGACAACGGCTGTGCACAGGTGGCCCAGGAGGGACCGGCGCACACACCCATGCCGACAGACTGAAGCAGAGGGTTTTGATCAGTCAGTAGGACACAGGGACGCTGCCTCTTCCTGTCCGGTTTCTTGAACTTCCCTGGAGGAGAGCCCTGCCCACCTGCAGATGAATCCACTGGAACAGAACGGTTACCCGGGCCACATGCACTGAAGGGCCACATGCCATGCTGGCCTCCCCAGTGGCCGGGTCCCTGCAGCCTGTGCCCCCATGGCACCCAACTATGACTCCCTGTTGTTCCCAGCCCTCTTCCCCCTCTGCCTATTGGACCCACTTGGTCCCCAAGCTGACCTGAGCCACCCAGTATTCCAGCCTCACCATCTCCTCCCCTCCACCCAAGTCCAGGTGCTGGTGACAGGGCAGGGGGTGGCCTGAGTGGCAGCCTGTAGCCCTGAGGTTTTCCCTCCTTCCTTCCTCCCCTTCCCCCTTAGTTTCCTTGCCTGTGATGCATTTTGGGGAGGCAGCTGCTCTGTCACAGTGGGATGAAGCAGTCAGTCCCAGGAGGGGCAAGAGGGGAGGGACATCAGCATTGTCAGCCCACCTCAGGGACCCCACGGTGAATCTATTCGATTCGATAGCAATATGACCCAGGAGGTGTCAGGCCAGGAGGGCAGCTGGGGCCGGCCTCTGGCTCCCTCCAGCACCTGTTGAGGCCTGGCTCACCCTGACTCGCTGTGCTGCCTCTGCCTTGCAGCAGCAGTGGCTGTCACCCTTGCTGGCACTTGCATCATGGGGTGAGAGGGGCCAGCCTGCCGCCCTGGCCTTGGGCACTCTCACGCTCACGAACTGCTGGGGTTCAGCCCCCTCGACTCTGGTCCCGGCAGCTGGCTACAGGTCTGAAGACTGCCACCCCATCACTGGGAAAGATGCACAGTGCACGTGCTTCCCCTCCCCCATCCACACAGGCCTGGGATGGTGGCTGGGGTCTACAGTTGGCAGGTTAGAAAATAAAAGCCATATTGAAGGATCATGCTTGCAGGTGTCCTGAGGAACATCTGCTGTTCCTGCCTTCAGGAACCTTGAGACCCCAAGGTCCTGCTGTCCTGAACTTGTTGGGGGCATCAGCTGGGGCCCTGCTGTCCACCACATCCCTTTTCTTCCCACCCTAACTGACAAAACTACTTCCTGCACTGTACAGGTTTTCAGTGGACAGGAGTTTGGGGACATGTCATATGGGACAGGGACCATTACTTCAAAGGCCACCCCTGTCAAGCTCACACCAGGGCCCAGCTCCTCCCAGAGGCTCTACCCATCACTCAAGTCCCTGTCTTGTCACTCAGCAAACCTCAGTTCAGCTGCTGCCGTAAGGCTGGGGGGCCCTGTCGGCTCAAGACAGGGTGGATAGGATTGCTCATGTCTGACCATCGAAGGGGAGCAAACGGCTAGACTGCAGGGTCTCTTCTGCCAGCTCAGGCGGAGAGTGTAGCCCTGTTCCAGTGCCATGGGCCACGCGCAGTGGAACATCTCAATACTGTGATCCTGAGCCCAGCAGGGTGGGCACCACGACAATGACTTCCTGACCAGAGTCTGGGGATCTGCAATGAGATCCACCTCTGTGAGGTCATGAACTACAGGGGCTGTGAATCACAAGTGTCCCCAGTTGCCCATGAGTGTTTGTGCAGTGGAGTCAGGGTGACTAGCAGACTATTTCTCCCCTGTGGGTTCTAGGAATCGAACTCAGTTGTCAGGCTTGGCAGAAAGCACCCTTACCCACTGAACCCTCTCACTGGCCCTCCACCTCCTCTTTTGACTCAGGACCTCTGAACCCTGAGCTGGGCTCCTGCCTCAGCCTCCACAACTCTAGGGTTCCATGTGGCTGTCACAGCAGCTTTTTACATTGGTGCTGAGGATTCAAACTCGGGTCCCCAGACACGAAGTGGCAGGCACCAGCTTGCCGACTTCTGAGGGAGGGCGTCATTGCACTCTCAGCTGGCATGGTGGCAGTCCCTTGCCTCAGCTTTCTAAGAGCTAGAGTGACAGGCCTGCACTACCACACTAGCCACAGCTTTTAGACAGTGGCTGTAGGCCCGGTATGGTGGAGACAACAGGATCATTCTGGGTCATCCTTGGCTACACAATGAGTTTGGGGCCAGCCTGAGTTACATGAGACCTTGCTTCAAAAACTAAATAGCAAAGAGGTTGTAAGTCACTGCCCCCCCCCATGACATTCGTAGGTGCCTGGGCTGGGCAAGTGGTCACTAGTGACGCAGTGACCTTAGGGGAAGGGTAGGCAGGTTGGGGCTGCGGACGTGGGTGCTGGTGGGGTCTGGGTCGGGTTCCCTGGCACTTGGCTGTGCCTCCCCTGAACCCTGGAAGGAAAGTTGGGAGCTGGCCCCTCCCTCACCTTTAATGCTCCGATTGGGGCCCCTGTTGGGAGGCTTGTACCTGTCACAATGGAGAGCTCCTGGCATGGAGTGGGTGTGGGCCAGGGGCTCAGCTCAGCACTCCAGAGAATGGAGCAACCCTGGATGAGTTCCAGAACAGCCCACTCACCTAAGCACATGCAAAGGCTGGGACAAGGTGAAGGGACCCACCCCCCTTCCCCATTTTTGATTGCCTGTTTCCCCTGGCTAGCAGCCACCTTTCTCCTGCAAAGTAGCTATAGTGATGTCACTTCCAGGGTTGGAAGTGTCAGGGAAGGAGTCCCCAATCAGGTGCTATTTTAGGGACAACATGGTGCTGGGGTTGAGAGCAGCACCAGCCTGGTCTGTCAGGTCCTGCCCACGTGTTTGTTTTGGGGATTGAGATGCTCAAACCTGGTATCCCCAGGTGTGTGACAACTGCAGGACAGATGGCAGGACCCTGCATCAACGCCTCCCAGGATCCCTGGTCCCCCCCTTTTGGTGCTCTTTAATGATTCTCACAGCTCAGAGGCCTGCCAGGCTCCCAGCATCACTCTCTGGTCGCCATGGAAACAGCTTGTCTGAGGACAAGCCTTGGCATCTCCCTGCCACTCAGATGACCCCTGACCTCTGGGGTCATCTGCCTGCCCTACCCCTGAGCCCTACAGAGTATGATGGTGGCATTGCCATTGACTGTGAGGCCAAGTCCACAAGAAGCTACAAGAAGTCCCCTCTCTAGTGTTCATAGCAAATGAAGTGGAGGCAAGGCTGCCTGGACCATAGAAGGGATCATGGGAGGCATCTGGGCTTCAGAGCAGGCATTAGCTTCCATCACTTCTGCTGGGTGACCTTGCGCAAAGGATCCACTGCTCTGGGCATCCATTACTGTCCTTTAAAACAAATTATAGGGGACTGGACAGACAAGTCTATGGCTAGCACACCAGCTGCGCCTGCAGAAGATCAGGGTTCAGTTCACAGCATGCACAAGGGGCTCACAACCACACACATGTGCGCAGCCATGCAGGCAACACTCCTGCACATAGGTAAATCCTTTTACAAAAACAAATTCTAGACAGGTGGTGGCGGCACACGCCTTTAGTGCCAGCACTGGGAGGCAGAGGCAGGAGGATCTCTGTGAGTTCGAGGCCAGCCTGGTCTACTGGTCTACAGGGAGAGTTCCCGAACTACACAGAGAAACTCTCAAAACTAAAAAAAAAAAAAAAAAAAAAAATACAGGAACAGGATTCACCCATTTAACTCTTTAATTTGTGATACTGTCTCATGAAGCCCAGGCTAGCCTCCAGATCTCTATCTATGTACCCAAGGATGACCTTGAACCCCTAATCCTCTTGCCACCACCTCCTCTGGGTGGGGGGGGGGCAAACTCAGTCATCAACATAGAGAATATTTCACTGCATAATTAAGATGAATACACGTAAAAATCTTCAATGAATAAAATATCACCCATTATTTTATTTATTTATTTTGGTTTTTCGAGACAGGGTTTCTCTGTGGCTTTGGAAGCTGTCCTGGAACTAGCTCTTGAAGACCAGTCTGGCCTCGAACTCACAGAGATCCTCTTGCCTCTGCCTCCTGAGTGCTGGGATTATAGGTGTGCATCACCACCGCTCACCTATTTATTTTTTAGGTTTCGGCTGTCCTGGAGCTCACATGTTGGCCTGAGCGCTGGGATTAAAGGCGTGGCACCACTGCCCTAATATCACCATTAATGACACACACCATGGGTCCAGATGGTGTCTGTGGCACTAAGAACTTCAATTTTAAAATATGAACCAGACATATTGGCGGGCATCCCAGGACTCAAAAGCTGAGGCAGGAGGATTGCTTGCAAGGGCTAACCTCAGAGTCTGTTTCTTTCCTTGAATAGTCTGTCAGCTTCTCTGCCTTCCTTCACTGTCATTCCCCCTGCCCCTGTCCAGTCCTTTGTGTCCACATCACAGGCTGGCTTTCATTATTTACCTGCTGTTCGCAGAGCCACTGTCCCCTCCGTGGCTGCTCGTTTTGTCTTCACAGAGGTTCTTACCATTTAGCCCAGGCTAGCTAGGAACTCCAGGTCGTCCTGCCTCGGTCTGCCCAATGCATATGGCTGTAGGACTGATCTCATGGCTGTTAGTGCCAGACACATAAAGGATGACCTGTCAGTCTTTCCGATGGGCGCGTCCACCCTGCAACTCCTCACACTTCCAGGACCTCTAGGCCTTAGTTTCCCGCGGCCGGCGCCTCCCGCCCCCTGCAGTTCCCGCAACGGCAGCGGGGAGCGCTGTGGCGCAGTCGTGCGCGGGCGGGGCCGCGGACCGAGCAACGCGGAGGCACCGCAGCTCCTGCCCGGGCCTGGCCGGTGGGCGGCAGCGGGCCTGAGCGCCCCGGGGCGCGGCCCGACGGAATGAAGGACCTGGACGCTATCAAGCTCTTCGTGGGCCAGATCCCGCGCCACCTGCACGAACAGGACCTCAAGCCGCTGTTCGAACAGTTCGGCCGCATCTACGAGCTGACTGTGCTCAAGGACCCGCACACCGGCGTGCACAAAGGTGGGCACACCCGTCCCGCACCCACTCATGCACCCCTGCCCCCGACCCCTGCACCCCGGCACTCTGCCTCTTGTACCCTTAAGACCCTTTCTGTACTCCCCTTTCTATATCTACACCCCTCCCATGCACCTGAGCCCTCTGAATCCCTCCCCCGCACCCCTTCTGCTTCACCTTTGTATCACAGAACCTCTCCTTACCTTCCCCTGCACCCTCCTCCGCCCTGGGGGTACCACTCTAGATCCAGCTGCACCCTCCCGTCCTCCGCCCCCACTCCCTCCCTCCTCTCCACTCCCTCCTCCTCCATCACTCTCCGTCATCTCCCTCCATATTCCTCCTCTCCCCGGGCATCTTCCTCTCTCTCCCCCCTCTCCCTCCCATTCCCAGACAAGCCCCCCCCCATCCGCCCTGTGCCAGGAGCGCCAGGGACCTTCCCTCCTCCCGGTCCCTCACCCTCTCCCACTTCGCTTTGGGTCTCACTGACCCAGCCAGGAACTTCCCACCTCAGGACCGGGATTCCTGCTCACAAAGCCGCGCCAGCTCTGCTACGGCCGGCCAGACACATGTCCAGGACCCGGGGCTGAGCGGTAACTACAAAGACTTGGGGGTGTGAGGTTGAGGCTGCAGCCCAGAGGATGCTGGGACCCAGGCAACCCTCCCTGGGTGGTGCCATCTTCTTGATCCCCTGGCCCACCCTGGCTGAACTCAAGTGGAACCTGGAGCCAGGGCTGAGGCCGAGACAATGAATGTGATGTCCGCTGGGCAGACCCTAGATCCTGGTTGATGAGGATGTGGGTGGGTAGCCTTGCTGGCAGGTGGCTCAAGAACCTGGCTTCCCCTCACATGGAGGTTTCTGGGGGGGGGGCAGGGTCACCCCATTGCTCCATCCCAGGCCCCAGTGTCTGAATCTGGTGGCTTTGACCAATTGTGCTGGCAGGTGTTGAGGGACCTAAGATTAAGACCATGGTCTTCATTCTCAGCCGGACCTCATGGTGGGGAGGGTTTAGCTCCTGGATGGGCCTGTACCCACCTATGGAATGAATGAGTGTGTGAATGAATGAATGGATGGATGGACCAGTGAATGAGAATGAACGCATGAGTGAATGACTGAGAGATGAAGGAATGCATACAGAGGTGAAGGGGCTGCTAGCTGGGCCTGAGGCTAGTCAGGACCTGAGCAAGGAGGGACCCCTCCATACCCCAGGGCTTTTCTCTTCCAACCTCATTGTCAAACACATGAGACCTGGGATTGATTTGATTCCCATCCATGACCCAGACCCCCGAACCAAGGGTCTGGCTTAAGTACTCATTTCTAGAAACTTCTGATGGGAACCCAAAGGCTGCCTGTCTGGCACCCCAAGTCGGGGCTTGGGGGGCAGTGGTGAGGCTTGGGTCTACGGGATAACACACAGGTGCTAGAACAGGGGCCCCCCATTTCTCCTGGGAATTCCAGGCAGGAGACAGTGGGGCAGCAAGGCCCCGGGAACTGGACTGTTTTCTTTCTGTTAAATGCAGTTGTCTAGCAGCCTTGGTATTTTAGGACATTGCTTGGGAGGTGGGAATTTGGGCAGCAGAGGGTTTGAGGAGGGTCTAATTGGCAGTGACTAAAGGATGGCAGCTTCCCAGGCCCCACCCAAGTGACGAGTTGGGGATCCAACAGGCCAGCAAAGGAGGGTTCAGGGTCTCAACAGAGCTCTGTGTTTGGAGGCCAGGGACAGTGGCACATGCCTGTCACCCAGACACTTGGGATGCTCAGGCAGGAGGATCAGGAGTGCAAGGTCATCCTTAGCAAGTTCAAGGCCTACCTAGCTCAGCTACATGAGACCCTGGCTCAAGAGAGGTAGATCTCTTTGGACCTCTGCTGTGTGGCTGTCACCCCTTTCTGGGCTTCAGGATAATGGAGAGGGAATGAATGAAACTGGGAAGTCTTGCACAGAGCCAACAACCTGAAACCTACCATAAGTATTTCAGCGGCTTTGCTGCTGGGGTGCACCTTCAAGATAACCCATGACAGCAGGGGTAGGATTCCAGAGTGGACTAGGTCCATAAATGCAGAGAAGGGGCAGGAGAGATGGGTACCCTCCCTGGAGCCATCCAGAGTGCGAGGGCCTCCCTGAGCCAGGGCTCAAGGCAGAACCTGAGAACTGACATGGGAGGGGTTCTTCTGCCCCCACCTCTGAGGGAGGACAGGTCACCTTTGGGTCCTCACTAGCCCAACATGGCATATGCATTTCTATGTTAATGATGGCATTTGCCTTAGAGTGGCACATTCTGGAGGACTGGGGGAGGGGGTGGCCTGCTGTTGCCATGGGAGCAGCAGTGGCTGTCTGTGGCAGGAGGAGGGAATATGGAGCCTAGAAGTGACAAGAAGTCTTGGGGAACATGGTCTGGCACAGATGTGAGAGGAGCAGTTGTCTCTGGGCCACAGGCAGGTGCTTTCTTGTGACACCATCCAGCTGAGTGTCTGTTTCCCTAGCTGCCTAAGAAAGGTCTGAAGCATACATCTCAGAAGCCACCACTGGAAAGGGATACAGGGTGGTATAGAGTCTAGTGGACTTTGGCCACAAGGCCTGGGCTCACAGAGTGGACAATGCTTCAGCGTTCTGGTTAGAGGCATTTGCAGGCAAAGAAAAGTGTTCTTGAGGCAGAGAGCAGCGTCTACAAAGGCCCAGAGGTGACTTTGGGGAATCTCCACAGAGAGGAGCATGTGCTAGAGTGATCAGAATTGCATGAGAGATAGGATGTAGGCTGGAGAGAAAGGACTGGCTTTAGTCAGGGAAAATTCATGGAGGTGGGTGGGTGGGTGGATGGGTAGGTGGATGGATGGATGCTGTCCCCAGGTCTCATGGAGATGTAGTAATTGTCACCATACCTTCCCTTGAAATGGGACTCATACAGATGCTGAGGAGGTGTCAGAGGTAGGGTTCTAGAAGGTTTGGGGTGAAGGCTTCATTTTTTATCTGAGGGATGGTGTCCCACATTGACCACAACCTCTACTAAAGCCTTGGCAAAGGAAGGAGCTCGTGTTGGAGCATGAGAAGGAACAGAGAGGCAGGCCTGTGACTGGAGGGTGGACTTGGGCCTTGACCCTGAGGGAGGTGGGAGCCATGGAGAGCTGTGCTCACAGACACCTCTGGTTGCTGCTTCAAGGGGGACAAACTGGGGGTGAGCATGTGTTCATGGATGTGGATGGGGCCACTCAGCTTGTCTTTTTGGTGACAAGGCAGTGCCAGGCAGAATCACAGGAAATTGTTCTTGCGATGAAGTGAGTGTTCAGTTCTGGGGATCTATGATCCCAGCACTCCGGAGGCTGAGGTAGGAGGATCACCAATCAAGGCTAGTAGCCTTGGCTACAGAGTTGACCAGAAGCCTGTTTCCAAAATAAGATGGTTGGGAAAGATGTGGCTTAGTGACTCAGTGGCTCAGAGGTGAGCCTCAGGGATCTGAGCTTGGTTTCCAGCACCACCGGGCTACTCAGAACCACCTTCACTCAATGCCTTGTGGGTCCCCAGAGAGAACATATTCCTACAAGTTAGTTGTCCTCTGCCCTCCCCCAGGCATGCCAGGGCACCCATAGGCGAATAGATAATAAACACATTTGATGTAGTTCTCTTCAACCTTCTTGAATTTTCTGAGTCTTGGAAATCCTCCAGTCCCAGCTCAAAGGCAGATGTTTGACTTGCTATGGGTCTTAAACAGGCTGCTGTGTCTCTCTGAGCCTTGGTTCACTTCATACTGCACCCAGGAATGTATGACTCCTGAGCAGTTGGGTGAGGGGGTGTTCTGCTGTGGTGCTGACCACACCCAGACAAAAGCACACAGCAGCACCTCAAGTCTGTGGAGCTGTTGGGGGAGGGGTGGTATTTGATAACAACTGAGGAAGAAACTCTCCATGGCTTCCCAGTGCTCTGACTCTCACAGCCTCTTCTGCTTGTCCCCAGCTTCGGCTGGCTGTCTTATCTACACAGGGACCATTGCTCTTCCCTCAGCCTGCAAAGCTGCCCAGTTGCTTGGGGTCTTGTTCCTTCTAAGTGAGGGAAAGGACACCGCCCTCTGTCCACAGGGGGCAGGGCGAGTGGGCACTGAGTTCAGATGCGGGAGGGGGCAGCAGGGCACCCCCAACTCCAACCTCAGAAACCAAGATGGTTTCTCCTGAAGAACCACCAGCTCGTGGCTGAGCCACTGTGTCCCCAAGGTGCCTGGACACCTCCTAACAGGGGGTCTTTTCTGAGTGGGGTGACAGTTCGGTGCTCAGGTTCAGCCACTACTAAAACGCCAGGAACCCCCTTGCCAGACCAGCGCAGCTCAGAGCTGGGGAGGGAGGGGTACCAGGCAGGGAGGGGTACTGGGGGAAACCGGCAGGGAGGACACGGGTTTTCGAAGTGCTTCAGCACCGTGGACAGCGGCCCTGGGGAACTGCAAGGGTATTATTGTCTTGGCCCTCTCCTCCACTCCTCCCTCCCTCCTATTCTTTCTCCTTTTGGGTTTCTGATACAAGGCTGGTCTTGAACTCTATGTAATCGAGAATGGCCTCTAACTCCCGGGTGCTGTGGTCGATGGCGACAAGTTCCAGGCTGCAGGGTAGACCTTTCTCAGAGACCAGACAGTGGTAGCACATGCCTTAAACCCCAGAACAGGCAGAGGCAGGAGGATGCCTGTGAGTTCAAGGCCAGACTAGTCTACAGAGTGAGTTCCAGGACAGCCAGGGCTACACAGAGAATCTGTGTCTCAGAAAAGAACAAAGAAATGATGATGATGATGATGTCAGTTAAAATGATACTGTCAGAGCCAGCCATGGTGACATTCCCAGCTGGGCTCTGTGAGTGCACAGCTCAGCTGTGTGTTCCCGGCTTCCCAAACTGAAAATAGCCCTCGTGAAACGCTAACTCTCCTCTGCCTTCTGCCCTCCACTCAGCACCCCCCATTCCCCTTCCTGTGTGTGAATTTGTCAATGGCAGTGACCAAATAAGGACTCAGCAGTGGCTGCCACCTTCTTTGAACATCCGGGGGTGGGACATGCAGCTTTCCTTTTCATGGCTGGGTAATATTTCACCATGTGGACAAGCACACCCCATGTGTCAATCATTCATTCATCAACTGGGTGACATTTTCATATGGCTTTAGCAGGTTCCAGTTCAACCACATCTGATTTGTAGTTTCAACTTGGGTGGTAAGCTCCAAATCCAGAGCAGGATGGGTGGGTTAGAGGGGCTCCAAGTCATAGTCTTCTCACACACACACACACACACACACACACACACACACACACACACAGTCCAGGCTCCAGCCATAGCTCTCGCTGTACTCAGAGCCCGGGATCCTCCTGCCTCCACCTCCCCAGCTCTGCGGTGGCAAAAAGTACCTCACCATCTCCCCACCCCAAAGTTCTGAGTCCCTTATGCTCCAACTCCCTGTTCGTTCTGTCTGCAGCCCTCAGCACCAAAAAATCTACTTCCTGTGTTTGTTTTCTCCTGTTTTGGGCATTTACTTTCATGGAGTCCACACTATGTGGCCTTTTCTTGAGGCTGGGTGGCCTCAAGACCTATTTATGCTGGGGGTTGTTGAAGCCTTGATCCTGTTTATGGTTGAGTAACACGCCTCGGTGTGACTAGACAGTGATGGGAATTTCCACTATCCTGGGCACCGGGGCTGCTCCCCCAACCCCCTGGCTTTGTTCATGGTGTCATGGTCCATCTTCCCTCACATGCTGTCTCTCTCATCAGGTTGTGCCTTCCTCACATACTGTGCCAGGGACTCCGCCATCAAAGCTCAGACGGCCTTGCATGAGCAGAAGACCCTGCCAGGGGTGAGTCATCCGTGGAGTGGAGGAGGTACTCCAGCCAGCCATGGGGGGCTCGGGCTGGATGCCGCTGTGCCTCTGGACTCAGGATGAGATAGAAAACAAGGGGCATAAGCATGAGTATCTTTTGGGCTCTGTCCATCACAGGAGTGATGGTTTTATGTAGCACAAGGGACATGGTCAGAAATGTACCTCACTGACAGGTACTGCTGCTCAAAGGCCCTGGAGTGGGGGCGGGGAGCATTGGGCAAAGACCTAGGAGACCCTTGTTGGTAAAGCAGAGGGAGTGATTCAGAGATGGAGTAAGAGGACTGGGACATGAGGGGAAGGGGTGGGCAGACTGGAGCTTTTGGTGGAAATCTAACAACACACCTGAGGCTTGGAACTTTATAAATCACAGTTCTGTGTGTTCAAGGGCATGCGCTGGCATTGGTGTGGCTCTGGCAAAGTTCTCCTGGTGAATGACAGCTGGAACATTTGCAACAGAGACCACATGGGAAGAGCAGGTGGAAGGTCAGGGCGGGAGCAGGTACAGAAGGGCTCTCTGTGAATACATGTACACATTACTATACCTGCAATTTGGCAAATGTGCACATTTCCCTAATACCATCCACTGAGCTTGTTAAAACCGGGAGGCAGCTTGGGAAGGAGGCAGGGATATCCAGAAAGTCCAATGGGAACATTTGATTCTACCTTACCTGCTCTGGGATTCCAACTGTGAGCATCATACATGGTTTTATATGTTAGTGTGGGAAGAGTAGTCAGCTCTGTTGTGACCTAAGAAAAGCTGTGAAAGAGAAAGACACCATACGACAGGTTTCAAGCAGAGTTTGTTTGTTTGTTTGTTTTATTAGAGAAAGGGATCATAAAAAAAGGGAAAGGGAAGGGGAGACCAGCCTCCAGGGATGGGAGCAGCTGGAGAGAGGAAGGGGAAGATAGAAAGAGGAAGAGAAAGAGAAAAAAGGATGGGAGGTGGGCAGGGCTCTTTTAAAAGGGAGCATGGTGAATATGCACAGGTGGTGCTCTTAGAGCTGCAGCTGAGGGTGTATCCTGTCAGAACCCCAGGGACAGGCCAGTACAGATGCCTGAATGCTAACAAGTTTCCCCTCTAGGGAAGTCATAATTTTCTCAGTCTAAGACTTTCTCTTTCACAAAATTCTACCCACCCATCCATCTGTCTATCCATTCACCCACCCACCCACCCATCCACTCATCCATCCACCCACCCATCCATCCACTCATCCATCCACCCACCCACCCATCCATCCACCCACCCATCCACCCACCCCACCCATCCATCCACCTACCCACCCACCCATCCATCCATTCATCCATCCACCCACCCACCCATCCATCCACCCACCCCACCCACTCATCCACCTACCTACCCACCCATCCATCCACTCATCCATCCATCCACCCACCCACCCATCCATCCACTCATCCATCCATCCACCCACCCATCCACCCACCCACCCACCCATCCATCCACCCACCCCACCCACCCATCCACCCACCCCACCCACCCATCCATCCACTCATCCATCCACCCACCCACCCATCCACCCATCCATCCACTCATTCATCCACCCACCCACCCCATTGCCTGGTGAGGAGACCATAGCTTTCTGGTACACAGCAAAGCTGAGCAGACTACCTCCCTGTCATGGGGATCCATCCCTGTTCCAAAGCTGAGCATGTCCCATTCCTTCCTAAGCTTCTGTCGAGATGTGGTGCCCATCCCTGTCCCTACCCCTCCCTGCAGATGCTCCTGGTCTCTCTGCTTGGCTTCTCTTCTCACTCGGTGTGCCCATAGCTCCTTCTCCCTCACACAAGAGACCAAGGCTGCCTCAAGTTTCTCTTGCCACTTGTCTATAAGACCCTTTTCCCGGGCTGGAGAGATGGCTGCTCTTCCCAAGGTCTTGAGTTCAAATCTCAGCACCGCACCATCTGTAATGAGATCTGGTAACTTCTTCTGGCATAAAGGTGTACATGCAGGTAGAATACTATGTACATAATAGACCTTAAGACCCTTTTCCCAAACATGACCACATTGACAGTATTCAGTCAGGGTGTGAATGTGTAGGATTTTTTTGGTGAGGGAAACATCACCAATCAGTTCATGATGTCAGGTGGTGACACTGTGTGAACAGCCAGGTGTGAAGGTCACCAGGGAGGACCATGTGGCCCTGGGGGTGTTAAAGTGCTGTGAAGGATAGATGTTTTGGACAGATGCAGAGCAGTGCAGAGTTCATGAAGATGAGGTGTGTTTGATAGAGAAGGGAGCCTGAGAGTCTTCATTGATTGACTGCTTAAGAGTGGATCTCACCCAAGAGTGACTGTGCTTTTAGGGTGAGTGACACCTGTAGACTTCCATGGCGGTCACACTGGAAGATTCCTGGCATGTCAGAGATGGGGGCTGGGAATTCAGCTTAGCACCTACAGAGAAACACCCAGCTGTGTGCTCACAGTACCCATGGACAGACCATGTTTAGAACAAAAAGAAATAATGTTCTAGAAAAATGTTAACTTAAAAATCTAGTTGGGGGTTGGGCATGGTGGCACACACCTTTAATCCCAGTATATGGGAGGCAGAGGCAGGTGGTTCTCTGTGAGTTCAAGGCCAGCCTGGTCTACAGAGTGAGTTCCTCAACAGCCAGGATTGATATACAGAGAAATTCTGACCCAAAAACCCAACCAACCAACAAACAAACAAAAATCTAGTTGGTTGTTGGTGGTGTATGCCTTTAATCCCAGTACTTGGGAGGCAGAGGCGGGTGGATCTCCTGAGTTCAAGAGCAACCTGGTCTACAGAATGAGTTCCAGGACAGCCAGGGCTACACAAAGAAACCCTGTCTTGAAAAAACAAAAAATAAAAGGAGAAAAAAAAAAACCAAAAAAACCCTAAGGCCAGACATGTCTGTTATTAGAATTTTCTGAAAGAAACATTAAAAGGTAACAATTAAAGGTAGAAATTCATTTTTAGATTTTACTTTTTCCAAAGCATCCCCAGGTCTCAGCATTTTAGCATGAAGTCCTGTAGAGTGGCCACACCTGCCCCCACGCTCACCCTTCATCGTTTCTTGTAACAATGATTGTTACACATAGCCTTGAACTCAGAGATCCTCCTGCCTCTGTCTCTGGAGTGCTGGAATTAAAGGCGTGCATCACCACAGCCTGGCTCAGGGTAGAAGTTTTTTCAGTGGCCTATGGACTAGTTGACCCAGGAGAATCATGTTCTGAATTGTTCTAAATGGAGAGTCCCCCACACACACCTCAAATCTGGTGTCAGCGTTAACTTTACATTTACAGACGTTATAATGACTGGAAACTTTGACATCTCGGTGCTGCACCATGTAGTTCTAGGACAAGCTGTGCTCTGTCCCGCACAACTACCCAGCGGACACATGATAAAACTTTATTGGAAACACAACTGTGGAACCAGATTGGGCAGCCCTGAGGGCAATGGCTGGCAGTACCCCTCAGGACCCATGCCTATTGTGACATGAAAGCTCAGTGTGGCTACAGTGTGCAATACGGCAAAGACCTGAAACAATCTAGACTTGGAGCCAGCTGCCTTTGTGCAGATCTGGAACATTCTAGAACTCAGCCAGGCTGGAAATTAGGGACCTGGAATGTTCTGGACTGGAGGCCAGCTGCCTGTGGGATGCTGGGAACATAGTATGTTCTAGACCCCCAGAGCTGGTGGCATGGCAAATACTTGGTGATTTAGAACATTCTAGACTTCAATGCCAGTGCTGGATAAGAGCAAGTTTAAATGTTCTAGACTCTGTGTCCAACCACCCTGTGGGTATTCTAGAATATACAGGATTATGGTTGTGTCCCCACCATTGTGAGCCCCCACCCAAAGATGTATCCCCAGGGGACAGGCACAGAGGATGCTACCTGATTCCGAGCTGACAGAGGGGGAGGCCTTGGTCACACAATGTCAGGATACACCAAACTTTGATGTTCCAGGTCTGTCTTTAGTGAGATCTGGGGTTGGCATCCAGCCACACACCTACAGGTCTCAGTTTCCCCACATGCCACCTTGGCCCAGCAGACAGGAAGGCTAAGGCTCAAAAAGAGAAGGCCACCCGACTGAGAATTCTCAGCAGAGGCCTCGCTTGGCCTTCAGAGGTCTGGGTGCTCTGTCCCCCACCCCCATGATCTAGGCAGGATTCTCTGAGAACAGTCCATCAAGGGGATCTGGGTCCCAGCTCAGAACCGCCATAAAAAGTCCCAGGATCAGAGAAAGCCTCTGCTTCAAGGAATTGGGCAGAAAGTGTCATGGGACTCTGAGAGGGACCCACCGTGTTCACACACACACACATGTGCACACTCTTGAAGGATCCATCCACCATGCACCCCCTTGCCCCCCCCCCAACTAAAGGTGTCTTCTGAGCTTTTTCACATCTGTGTAGTATTCTGCAGCCCAATGGCTTGATTCATCTATCAGCGCATACTCTGCTTCTGGCCCCATCTCTTGGCATCAATCTGACTGGCAAAGGGTGAGGGGTTGGGGGAACAAGCAGGGAGCACTGGGGGAAGGTGTTCACTTTGAAGAGGGGCAGGGCTGTTGGGAGGAAGGGGTTCCCGGACCCCCGTTGAGGTCTCCAATGCTGCAAATAGAGGCTGTAACTGCTGCCAGGGCCCTAGGGAGCCATAGTGGGGTCCAGGTGGGAGAGAATAGTGGGCTGTGGCAGCCCGGGTGGCGCGTTTGTGCTCTTCCACCGCTTCTGAGGATGCCTGGTTCTAGAATCTTCCAACTGTGCGAGAAACCTGTATGGCCCAGGCTAGATTGGTTGAGATTGTCTAAAGGCCTCGGTTTCCCCGTCTGTAACCCAGTTCAGAGATGAAAGGGGCCTCGGACAGAGACCTGGCTCCCCAAGGAGACATAACATAGTCTCACTCACAGAACTTCTATCTGCCTCAAAACCCGCCGAAGATTTTCTCCTCCGTGGACATGGTCAACTTCCGGTGTTGTTATCCCATTCTGAGACACTAGGGAGGGTCCTCGCTGGGGACCCCAAATCCTACCCAACAGGAAATGGTGTTGGGTGAATGTAAAGAGGAAGAGGAAGCAGGGAAGGGGAGCAGAGACTGAGCTGCAGAAGGTGCAGGGGGAAGGGCGGCACCTGGGCGGGACAGATGGGGGGAGGCGGTAGTGCGGGGAGACCCAGCTCCCACAGGCAGCCGCGGAGGCACGTGGTGCAGGCTGGGAGGGCGCTCCACGGCCCCTTCTTCATCACTGTGGGGTGGCGGGGGGTTACCCAGGGAGCGCTGGAGACCAAGGTCGGTGATGGGGTGATGGCAACAGAGCCTGGCACATCCCCTCTTCTTCCCTTCCCCTCCCCTCCCCCTCCCGCGTCTCTAAAAGATTATATTTAAATCTCTTTTGTGCACTACGAGATCTGAACTCGGAGGCCCCCCCCCAAGAGGCGGTTTCCATGGCAGCGACAACTGCCGGCTTCCGCGGGGTGAATCAGCGTTGCCATGGCAACCCCATCTTCATCTGCCCAAGGTGCTAGGGAGGATGGTGGAGGGGGAGGGCCGGCGGGGGCGTGTGGGAGGGGCCGTGGGGGGACCAGGAGGCTAGATCTGGGGGACCCCTCCCCTGCCTCGTCCCCCCACACCCCTTTTGGGCGCCCGGACCCCAGAAGAGGAGGAACTATCAGGTTCAGATCGTCTCTCCCCCCCCCCACCCTAGGGTGGGGTGTGGTACCCAGGTGCAGAAGGGATGGAATGTGGAGGGGTTGGGAAGGATCTGGCTGGCTGGGGGGAGTGGCAGGGCGGGTAGTGAGGGTCCCCAGGAGGGTCTTAGAGGAGGGGAGGGGCTCCCAAAGTGTGTGTGGGGGCCGAGGATGATTCCGGAAGGGGAGGGGCTGGGAGGAACTTGGAAGCACGGGAGGGGAGAGGATTGTGGGGGAATGGAAGGGTGTGGAGAGGGGTGTGAGGGAGGGGAGCGGTGAGGAGAGGTGTGAGGGAGAAGAGGGGTGGGGAATGCTCTACAAGGGCTGCTCACAGCTGGTGGAGCCATCACTGGAGGGGAGGGTGGGTGCAGGTGAGGACATTGAAGGGAAAAGGCCAAGATTCAGGGGACAGGGGTCGCTGGGCTATTAGGTGGGCGCACCCTAGGCCAGAGGTCTCAGGGCTTCGTGTGAAGGGGCTAGGCTAATCTGAAGCAGGGAGGGACCCCACTCCCGGCTCCTGGACCCTCATGGTCCCCTCTTTCCTTACACCTAGCTTGGGGTGGTACCTGGAGGGAGACAGAGCAGAGGCAGGAGACAGGGAGAAGCCCTGAGGGGAGGGGGCATTGCTGCTGGGACTTTGAGGAGGTTCACCCATATGAGCCTCCCATCCACGGCCCAGTGGATGGGCAAATGAAGGCCTCCCAGATGTACACCCCATCCAGTCTGTCCTCGGGGCTATGTGGGGATCGATCAATGCCATCAAATGCCATCTTCGGGGTGGGGTACACAAGAGTGCAGAACAGTGGGTCCAGGTATCAGTCGGCTACTGGCCAGTAGCAAAGGCAATTTATGTTATTTAGAATGAGTCCTCGTGGGTGCCATCAGTGACTAGCCCAGGCTAGCACACTTGGACTTTGTGTCCAGAGAGCAACAAGCTCTCTAGCACCAAAGATCACAGTGTGAAAGTCACACAGCCAAGTCTAGATGCAGGGCTCAGAAACAAACTGACTTCTTGAAGACAGAAATTGCAGTGCAAAATTACATAGGGCTCGGGGAAATCCCATTTCTAAAGACATTCTGTCTTGTTGGGGACATAATTAGCTTTGGGTTTTGAAGGCTAGCTAAGAGTTTGCCAAACAAGTCTCTTTGGCACCGGGTTTGATTGCTTCAATGTGTGCCAAGACAAAAGTGAGCAGTCGGTGCCTGGCAGAACTTAGAGAAAGTGCATGCGTCCCACCTGGTCCCCTGCCACCCTGAATGTGCGCCCCCCACCTTTCCACAGATGGCGCGGCCGATCCAGGTGAAGCCAGCGGACAGTGAGAGCCGTGGAGGTAGTAGTAACCTCCCTGTGACCGTGGGGTGCTCCTGCCGGCTCCAACTGCTCCCTCAGACTTCAGACACCCCACACCTTTCCAGTTTCCTCACGGGTGGGGAGAGTTGTGGGCAAGGCTGTCGGGACCCCGTGTATATGTAGGAGCTGGGTAAAGTCCAGCCTTGCTAGTCCCTGTCACTTTCATTTTGGCTGTCAATCAGGACCCCCCTTTCGCGTTCTCTCCCTCTCTCTCTTGATTCTGACTGCCCCCCCAGTCTTCTGTCTCTTCCTCCATGACGCCCCCCCCCCAGTATCTCTGCTTCCCTTCCTCTCTCCCTCATCCCAGGGCAGCAGGGCGGCTTAAGCAAAGGTCCTGGGGCAGCGCGGGTCAGGACTGAGGGTCTGAGGGGCTAGCGGGCTCAGCGGGGCCGTGGGCCGGGGCTCCGCCCACAGGGGACCGGAAGCTGTTCGTGGGCATGCTCAACAAGCAGCAGTCAGAGGAGGACGTGCTCAGGCTCTTCCAGCCCTTTGGAGTCATCGATGAGTGCACAGTGCTGCGAGGACCTGATGGGAGCAGCAAAGGTGACTGATAGGCGGTGGGCGGAGCCTCGAAATGGGGCGGGGCTTGGAGGGCCCATGGGGGGCTAGGTGGGGTCTATGGTGAGTGGTGGTGAGGTGTGGGGAGGGGCGACTGGAACGAGGGCGGAGCCTTGGAAGGCATGGCTGAGGTGTTGTTTGGAGGGCGGGGCCGGGGGCGGGGTTAAGCTTGGGGCAGAGGGTGTGCCTTGCAGGAATAGCAGAGTGGGTGGTGGGTGGGACTTTAGAAAGAGATCTGCCTGAGGTAAGTGTGGCCTTGGGGAAGGGGGTGGACGGGTGGGGTAGGTTGCAAGGGAGATGGTAGGGACGCTTGGGTAAGATGGGCTTGCACTGCAGACTGATCATTTTTGAGGATTTCCATATCCTAGTCCTGAAGTAGGGGGAAGAGAGCAAATAGATTTGGTGAGAAGGGGAGATGAGCACAAGACTGTCTTTAGGATTCCTGCTGTATGTGTAGGAGCTTGGTAATGCCCACCTGGCTTCCTAGTTCCTGACACTCCCTATTTTAACTGTGGCTTGCAAAAAGAGAGGGGCTGGAGGAGGGGAGGAGCCAGCTGAAGAGGAGGGGGTTAAAGTCTGTGGGAGGGCAGAGTCAACCCTGGCCCCACCTGAGTGTCCATTCAGGTGGGGCTGCTGTGCCCTGCAGATTGGTCCTCTGGACTATGGCCTGGACCTCTCAGCTTCTCTCCTTGAGTGTCGCAAGTTATGTCTGTCTTTGTGTGTCTGTTTGTCCATCTGTATGACTGGCAGACTGGTCTTGTCCTGGATCCACGGTGTATGACCCTAGCTGGGGGTTCATCTGCCTTGGTGGCTACCACATGACTGTGTATGTCTGTCTGACCAGCTGCCATGATCTACAGGTCCAGTTCACCCCCTGTGCCCTGGAGGTCAGGACTGATGACCCTTTAAACCTTTACCTCAGTTGTTCTAATGGGACCTTCTGGGCCCAGCCTGCATCTGAAAGTGAATGTGACTGCCGGACTCTCAATACAGTGACTGGCAGCTGAGGCTGACTTCCTGCTGGTTGGCCACATGGACAGACAGATGGACGGGTGGATGGATGGGTGGAAGACTGGCGGGTAGTCGTATGGATGGATGGATAGGTAGATGTGTGGGTGGGTGGGTGCCTGGGTGGTTGAGTGGATGGATAAATAGGTGGGTGGGTGAACAAAGGAATAGACAGGTGGATGGATGGACGAATGGATGAACAAGTGGGTAGATGGGCAGGTGGGTGGATGGGTAATTGAATGGGTATGTGGGTGGGTGGATGGATGGATGGACAGGTGGATAATTGGATGAGTGTGTGTATGGGTAGGTGGATGGATGGATGGGTTGATGGACAGATGGATGGGTGGATTCATGGACAGATGGACAGATAGACCAATAGATTAGTGTGTGGATAGGTAGAGGTGAGTGACTGACATTTTTTTCTGTTTGGCTGAATTCATTGCTGACATCGATGTTTCTGTCCCTGTAAGATGGTGGTGTTTTGTCTTGACCCCTTCCATGGTTGTGTGAACTCATATCTACTGTCTTTCATGAGTGGCAATCAAGGGCTCCGTCTCCCCTTTATTCCCTACCTTCTATATCCTTCAGTCAGTCCCTCACCTCCACCTCCCTCCCCTCCCAGGCTGTGCCTTCGTGAAGTTTTCTTCCCACACAGAGGCCCAGGCGGCCATCCATGCTTTGCATGGCAGCCAGACCATGCCGGTGAGTGAGAACTGTTCTTACTACAGTGGGGCAGGGGAAAAGGCAGGACGGCTGGGAGCAATGGGTGGCTTTATCCCTTCCTAGACTGCTTCAGAAAGGAGGGTGGAAGGCTGCAAGCAGATGGTTCCCAGTGCTTTGTGGTCTCAGTTTGTGGCCATGGCACTGGCTGAGCAGGACCAGAGGTTGCACAATGTGTAGAGACCAAGGCTCCGTTCTAGAGCAGTGGGGACCCACAGTGGCCACCAAGTGAGGGGGCCTGTCAGGCCATTTGCATAGGTCCTTTAGGTCAGGGTCATGAGTGGGCAAGGGAAAAGAGTCTAAGGACCTGGCTGGCAGCCAAGCTCAGATACCCAGCAGGAGGATGAAGGCTGGTCTGGAGCAACTGTATGGAGATAACGGGGGTCCTGGGAACCCATTAGGCCAAGTGGGAGTGGGAAGCAGGGGTTCAAGGTCCCAGGGGTAGAACCACCCAGGTGAGGCTGTGGGAGGGCCCCCAGGAATCTGTGTCCCTAGCCTTGCAGCAGTAGCTGTCTCCTTAACATGGCTGGGCAGGTTCAAGTCACCCCCAGTCTGACTCCCTCATGACAGAAGCCAGTGAGCGGGGTTGTCTATCCAAGGGGGTGTCCGCAAGCCTGGCTACAAGCATCTGGGGCCAATCCCAAGGAAGGACCTGGGTGAGCCCTGACCCTGGACTAAAATCTGGATCCTGAGTCCCAGTTCCTCACATACTGAACCGCGATGGGACACTGAGCCCCTGTCCCTGACTTAGTTCTACAGCATGAGCAATCAGTGCACTGTTGGTCATCATATCCCCTGGCCATGGGGGCCTTGGCTGCTCCCAGGTGTGGGCTGTATGGTGCACTACCCCAGACTCTTCCACTGTCCCTCTCTGGCCCCTGATTCCCCCTGCCTTTGAGGACATGGCTACAGCTAGGATCTCCTGACACTTTTGTCTCAGACATGAGCCTTGGCCCTGCATAATCCACCTGTCACTGTGGATGTAGCTACCTCCAAGACCCTGTGGCTGTGTCACCACACCGCCAAGCCCAGCATGACAAGCCCTATGCACTTCCTGTGTAGCCCTGGCTTCTCTGGGTGTGGACTCGGTCATGGCTGGCATTGCCACTCTCATCCACAGAGACCCCGAGTCCCAGCCCTTCTACCCCAACACCACACACTGTTCTTGTAGGGAGCCTCCTCCAGCCTGGTGGTCAAGTTCGCTGATACGGACAAAGAGCGGACACTGCGGCGCATGCAGCAGATGGTTGGCCAGCTGGGCATTCTGACGCCATCCCTCACCCTGCCCTTCAGCCCCTACAGTGCCTACGCCCAGGCTGTGAGTGGCCCCCAGCCTGTGGACACCGAGTCCAGGGCTCAGCCCCACAACTCCATCTTTCTGTCTTCCCTTCACTCACTCCTTCTGACCCAGGCAGGATCCTGTCCTGGATGGGGCTGAGCCTCAGGCCCAGCAGGGTAAACTGAGCTGCAGTCCCTGGTTACAAGTTCAAATCTTGATGGACAGCCCTAAACATAGCCATCACCCTGACTGGCCCCCTTATCCCAGTGGACCTGTCTGTGGGCAAAATGCTAATGTCTCACTCATCCTGACCCAAATGGGTGGAGCCTGGATCTCACCATCCCTAAATCTGCCTTTGGCCTAAATCCTCAAGGTTGACATCACCTGAGCTCCTGACTCAGCCCTGAGCATTGACTGAGCCTTGTTCCTGGACAAACCCAATCCCAAGCTGAATCTAAATATCTGAGTCCTGTTTCTAAAGCTAGTTCTGAGTCAAGGCCTGGCCTAGATCTCTGCTCACCCAGATCTCATATTCTAGACTGAGCCCTGATCTCAGACTGAATCCTGATTTATAACTGAGCCTCATTTTCCAACTTAGCCCTGATCCCAAGCTAAGACTAATGCCTGACTGGTCCCTGATCCGAGAATGAACTTGAATCTAAGTAGGAGCCTCCATTTCTAACTGAGCCCTGAGCCTAGGCCAAGCTAGTGCCTCCTGAACCCTGATCCACAACCAAACACTTACCTCCAGCTGAGGCTGTTTGCCACTGATCCCTGATCCCAGCTTGAGCTGTGAAGTCTAGCGAGATCCTCTCCTACCCCTGTTCCTGAGCCATGGTGGGCCCAGTCCCACTCACAGTCTCTGTCTCCAGCTCATGCAGCAACAGACAACAGTGTTGTCCACCTCCGGCAGCTACCTGAGCCCTGGCGTAGCATTCCCTCCATGCCACATCCAGCAGATTGGCGCCGTCAGCCTTAACGGTCTGCCTGCCACACCCATCGCCCCAGCCTCTGGTGAGAGCGGCTTCGGGGAGGCCTCAGGACAAGCAGGCAGCTCGCGCATGTCTGGACCCCCCTCACCCCATGTCTGACCCTCTCCCCCTCCTCAGGGCTACACTCACCCCCACTGCTAGGCACTGCCGCTGTTCCTGGCCTGGTGGCACCCATTCCCAACGCCTTCCCAGGCGTCCTGCCCTTCCCTGGGAGCCACCCTGCCCTGGAGACTGTGTATGCGAATGGCCTCATCCCTTACCCAGGTAACTTGGGAGACAGAGTGCCCTAGGGCCTGGAGTGAGCATGGCAACTGGGGGCCATACCTAGGTCCCCACAGCATGACATCGTGGGCGTGGAAGGGCAGGACAAGGGGCACAGGAAGAGGCTGGTGGAGGATACATGAGGGCCGTGCACTGGGCGGGTTCTGGATTCAAATTCCAGTTCAGTAATCTAGCCTGCTTCCAGAACTGGAAAACAGGATGGTGACCTCAAAGGCGGAATGAGGAGCAGAGTGCGTTTGGCCAGGGTTAGGTGTGTGCCTCTTTTGTTTGCTGTCTGAGATAGGGGTCACATTATGTAACTCAGGCCGGCTTTCAATTCCCTGTGTATCCCAGGCTGCTCTTAGACACCTGTCACTCATTAGCTCTGGCCTCCACCTCCCAAATGCTGAGATGACATCTGGGAGCCACTGTGCCTGACTTAATTCTTTATTCCATAGTCAGCTAAGATTCTGGGCATTGTAGAAATGGGGCAAGGTGGGCCTGAGATGCCAGCCTTGCATGCTAATGGCCTGACCCAGGAACTGGGTAGACTATGGGACACTTAGAGGGTGGCTGGGGAGGGGATGGGGTATGGGAGATGACTCTCAGACAAGGGTTTTCCTGGGTGCTGAGGGGGCAGAGTCAAGGGTTGAGGGGTAATGGGCATAAGGGTTCATTTAGTTTCTGTCATCTGTTCTCTGGGGACGCCGAGCGAGCTGATGCACAGCTGTTTCCCTGGTTTGCCAGTAGGGGGTTAATACAGAAGAGAAACTGGGGTGGTTGTGGATGTCAGGGCTCAGTTCATCATCTGCCCCACAGCTCAGAGCCCCACTGTGGCAGAGACCCTCCATCCTGCCTTCTCCGGAGTCCAGCAGTACACAGGTAGAGGCAGCGCCAGCCTGACCCTGCATCAGCTCGACAGTTCTGGTCAAGTCTATGCCCACCATGACCACTCACCTCAGTGGCTCACCCCTTCACACATGCACCCAGGGCCTCGTCCTTCGCTCAGACCCTCTACCCGTTTGAGATCCCACTCTCCATGGCCCCCTAAGAAAAGTGCATAGTCTCCAGCCTGGTGTACCCTACATGTTATCCCCATGTCCCTGAGGGCCTGACCACCCCCTCCAAAGCCAGGGTTGCACCTGGCTGTCTTCTGTATGCAGCCCTGCCCCACCCAACTTTGTGAATCTGGTCCCACCTCTTGAGACATATGCCCACCCAATTCCTTGCCCATGAGCCCTCAGCCCCACCCCAAGGGCAGAGCCCCACCCACTAAGTTCTTTTCGGTCATGGCCCCACCCCGGTCCCCATTCCCTTGTGGATCCCTACTATTATACCCTCTGCCTTTCTGGCAGTAGCCACGCCCCTGTCCTTCGTAACCGTTCCCTTCACTGTGGCCTTACTCCACTCAGAACTAACCCTCCACTCCGGCGGGTTTGCTTCCTTGAGTTGGGGGAGGGGCAGAGAGGCGGAGCCAGGGCCAAGAGATGGGGCAGGGACTAGGCAGAGCAAGGGACATGGTCAGAACCGGGCAAGAACAGGGCCTGGGGAGGAGGCACAGCCAGAGTGTTGGTGGGGATTTAAAGGGGTGGGACAGGATTGAGGGGCAGGGCAGAGCTGGAGCCTGCGGGGCGGGCTCCTGGCCCAAGGAGGAAGGGTGCAGCGTCATAGCTGCTGAGGAGCCAGAATGAAGGGCAGAGGCATAGGGCAGGACAGGGTCATGGAGCAGGGGCAGGGTCCACCGCTCAGCCATAGGCCTGGCCCTCTGGCTATGGTCTCATCCCTCAGTCTTGGCTGCTATGGCCCTGCCTACTCTAGTTCTACCTTTATTTGGCCATGCCCCGCTCCCGGCCCTGCTCCTGTCCCAGTCCCGCCCCTCATGCAGCCTCTGCTCTGCCCTGCTTGTCTCAATCATCCCATCCCATCACACTCAACTCGCTCTGTGTCCTTCCCCAGGCTCTGGCCCCAACCAGCCTTTCCCGCATCCCTGCCCCTCCTCCCTCAACCCCATCCCTGTCCCAATCTGCTCCCCCCTCCTTCAAGCCCAGTCGCTGCCCCTCAGCCTTGCCCCACTCTACATACCCCACTACCCACCCCTCAGCCCCGCCCCTAGGCCCTGCCCTCAACCCGGCCCCACCCTCTTGCCCTGGACCCACCAGTCAGCCCTGCCCTCTGCCTGTGCTCTCTGCAGCCATGTACCCTACAGCGGCCATCGCGCCTGTGGCGCACGGCGTCCCGCAGCCTCCTCACCTCTTGCAGCAGCAGCGTGAAGGTGAGGCGACCCCTGCCAGCCCCGCCCTCACCTGCACTGCTGAACTCGCCCCTCCATGGAACGGCGGCCCTTGCAGTTCCCACCCCCTATGGACGAGCGAGGAAACCCCTTTTTGGTGCGCGTTTGTGCAAGGAGGCGTCTTGGGTAAACTGAGGCCTTCCCAGTGAAGCCAGGTCTATGGAGGGCATGCGGGAGGTAACAGGAGTCCAGAGTCCAAGGAGGTATCTTGGGTAAACTGAGGCCTTCCCAGTGAAGCCAAGCCTATGGAGGGCATGCTGGAGGAAGCAGGAGTCTGAGTCTGGTGACTCAGGGTCACTCATGTCCTCTTCTGGCTGGGCACTGTGACCAGTACCTCAGTTTCCCCGTTTATAGCTCCGGTGTCCTGTCCCCACCTGTGTAAGCCAATAGGCATTAAGAAGTCTCCTTTTACACTGCCTGAGGACCAGGAGGGGACTGGGGTGAGGCTCACACACACCCAGTATTCAGGACCTGGGCTCAGGCTAGCCCTAGACTTTGAGGGGTAACCAGTGTCCCTTGACTGTCCCACCATGGCCACATCGTGTCTCCCAGACATTGTGTGGCTAAAGCCACCAGCAGGACATTTTTATCTGACTGTTGACAGCCAGGACACTTGGGGAAGTCCCTCCTTCAACTCCAGGCGGGGAGGATGGCTCAGCGCACCACGCCCGAGTTTGATTCCCAGAGCCCACATGTGGAGGAGTGGAGGACCAGTGCAAGTTGTCCTCTGACCTCCACACAGGCACTGCAGCATACCCATTCCCTAAAATTAACTAGATAGAGGGACGGATAGACAACCTCTATACCTCCCAGCTACAACCTTGGCTCCATCACCTGAATGAATTTTCTGTCTCTCTCTGTCTCTATCTTTGTTTGTGTGTGTGTATCTCTGGCCCTGTGCATGTGTGTGTGTGAGGGGGTATGGGTGTAGTTGTGTTTGAGATTAGGTCTCACACTAGGCTCATAAACACAGCAACCCTCTTGCCTCAGCCGCCTAAGCATTGGCATGACTGACAGGTGTGTGCCACTGACCTGGCCTCCAGGCATCTTTGAAATGTCAGGGGTATCTTAGACCCACAAGGCCCACAGAGTGGCTGCTGAACCACATCCAGCTCCCACCCCCATGACCCCATTCACCTGACTCCAGCAAATGGCCTGGAGGTGGAGGCTGCAGGCAGGCATGGAGTTTTGGGAGTCAATCTGGGAGGCAGGGACCCTGGCTTGTGGGGTTCAGGGTGAGGAAGAAGAAGTATCTGGGCATGGTCTGTGATAGCACTGGCTGGGTGAACAGCATATGGCTTCCCGGGCCCATCCCTGCTACCCACCATTCTCTCCCACTGCATCCACAGCCAGACACAAGGACTGGACCCCAACCCAGGGGGGGTCTGCCTCCTCTCCTTGGGGGCTTTATGTCTTTCTCTCCCCCACCTACAGGTCCAGAAGGCTGTAACCTGTTTATCTACCACCTCCCCCAGGAGTTTGGAGACACGGAGCTGACCCAGATGTTCCTTCCCTTCGGCAATATCATCTCCTCCAAGGTGTTTATGGATCGGGCTACCAACCAGAGCAAGTGTTTCGGTGAGCAGACCAGCCTAGAATCGTCCAATGAGGGACAGGGTAGAGTGCATGCCTGGCATGTATAAGGTTCTGGAATAATCCTCAGTACCACATCAGTGTTGTAGGAAGAAAGCGAGGCCGTAACTCTCGTATCACATGGGAAGTTGAGTGGACTGGATGGGTTAGGAATGAGTCCCCCATCCCTAAAAACATACAAGTCTGGAGATAGATATCTACAAGAAGCCAGGACCACTCACTGCCCTTCACCAGCTTGGGTCTCTTTGTCTCCTCAGGATTCGTGAGCTTTGACCACCCAGCCAGCGCGCAAGCGGCCATCCAGGCCATGAACGGCTTTCAGATCGGTATGAAGAGGCTGAAGGTGCAGCTGAAGAGACCCAAAGACCCAGGACACCCGTACTGACCACGCCCACAGCCCCTCAGTGCTGTGGGTCTGGCCCCAGGTGAGCCGCCAGGCGGCCCTGTGCCCTGCCCAGCCCTGGTATCGTCTAACCCTCCTCCCATCCCAATCTTGCTCTCAAACTCTGGGGGCGGGAGTGATGCTCCAAGAAGCCAACTGGGGATAAAACCCTCCCCCATCACCTTGCAGCTTGGGTGGCACAGGGGGTGGGATTGGGGTGGGGAGGTGGAGAGAAATGAATAGAAGTTTACTCCAGAGGTGGGTCTGTGGGTCTGGGGTACAGGGTTTGATGGGTAGGGCTTCTATTCAGTCTTGTGAAGCTGCCTCCCTGCTCCCAGCAGAGAAGCCCTAAAATCAGAGAAAAGATGTTTGGCACACACCCCAGTCTGGGTCCTACAGTTGGAACTTGGAATGCCCAGTTAAGCTGGGCCCAGAACTGAAGCAGAGGTGATGGGGGCCCCATCACAGCCTTCCCGCCCCCCACTTCTGTCCCCCCAGCACCAGTGGACTGGACAGTCCTGTCTTCTAATTTCATGCCCAGTGGGTTAACAAATCCCAGAGCGTATGTCACTCACAACCTCTCAAAACAAACAAAAAGCCAGATATACTCAAAAACAAAACAAAAAACCCAAACGTCAAATTCCCGTCAAACCACATTCTCAGCACTTTCTTTGGGACTGAACTGATTTTAAAAGGTGGAATCAACTGCACAAGGCCTCATGGGAGGTGACAGCTCAGCCACCCAGCAGCAGCTGCCACCTACAGAGTGCCCAGGAATACTTTTGGTTTCTTTTCTTTTCTTCTCCTTTTTTTAAATAACCTCGCCCAGGGTCTGGTAGAGGTCAGTTGTCTTTAGTTCTTCAGTGTTTTCTGTTTGTTATCTGGATTTGGGAGTTTTATTTATTTTGGTTTCAATTAGGAAACCTGCCAATCAGGAACAAACTCTCAGAGCATCTGACAGGCCTTCACTTTTAACCCAGTGTCCTGTGGATACTCTGCTCTGGACTGGGGAGGAACCAGTATGTAAATGTCCCCAAACTGATGGTGACTGGTTTTGAAAACACTGGGGTTTTCTTGCCAAGACAAAAATGAAAACCCCACTCTCCTCCCTTCCACTGCTCCCTAATGCCCTCCCGACACCCTCCCCAGATTGAGCCACTTCCAACCACCCCAGGACTTTCATGTAAATTACAGCCAAGTTTGGATACCAGCCCTCCCAGCGACCCCCTTCCCTATCTGTCCCCCCCCACGTTGACTCCCCAATTCCAAAACCACTGAGAGCCACATGGGCGCAAAATGCTCCATGGTTTATCGTGGAAGGGACTAGGAGTCTGAGCCCAAGTCTGAGGGGTCCATACACTGCCAATCACCATCCGCCCCTCGACTTGGGGACATCCCCAGTCCAACTCGGAGGTTTTCCAGGCCAGCCAGTACCCCCTTAGGCAGAATCCCTACTTCCTGTTCCCTGTAGCGGCGCACAAGGGTGCGCATCATAGACTGTATTTTTGGAGTATGAACCACAGGGGCCAAACGGTGGCTCTGAGCCGGCCACTCACAGGGACCAAGGACAAACGAGGCCGGCTGGAGGCCGCCCCCCACCGGACGCCAAACCAGGACTCCGCCAACACCATATACCTCCAGTTCTTGGGGTCCCCACGGCTCCTGACACCGCCCGCGTCCAGCTGCACCCCACCCCCGCTACACACCCTTTCCCTTTTTCACAGCCTTACTTGGGTGACCAGGTGTCCTTAGCTTCCCGCTGGGGAAGCCTCCTGCCCGCCCCCGTTGCCCCCACTGTCCCCCGTGTCTCCCCCACTGCCCCAGGTTTCCCCCACTGCCTCCCAGGTGTCCCTCTCCCCCATCCTCCAATCACCAGCCTTGAACTGAAGGTCTCCTACCGGAGGTCACCCGGATCGTGGACACTGACCGCCAGACCCGGTTGCTGACACCGCAGACTCCGCACTCTGATTTCTTTTCTCTTTATTTGTGGTCTTTTTCAAGACCACAAGGAAGGGCGGGGGTGGATGGACTCACTGAAAACCCGCTTCTGTTTCCTAGTGGGGGTTGGGAGGACTTTGGTGGGAGCCGCCCCTGTATATTACCCCTGCCCGCACCCACCGCAAAGCACACAATGGGGGGGAGGTGAGTTCCGGATCCCCTCCGATGTGTCCAAAAGCAAACAAACGATAGAGAAAGAGAAGAAAAAAAAAAAACAAAAAAAAAACACCTTTTTTAAGGTTTAAAAAAATGCAAAAAAAAATTTTTTTAATCCCTTTTCGTTTCTACCAACATGTTTGTTGACTGATCCAAAACAAAGGGGGGGGGAGTAAATAAAAAAAAAAGAGATTAAAAAAAAATCCACCCCGATTCTGCCCACCTTGTTTCGCGTCCCCGGTTCTGAACATTCCTACAATAAGACTATGTTCCCTCCACGTGCGAGCGTGTGTATCCGGGCCTCATGTGGCCCCGCGGTCGCCCGCTGAGTGCGTGCTGGCTTGCGCCAATGTGCGCAACGTCTAGTTCATGTTTACGAGCTGTAAATACCATTTTTATACTCCACGTGAGAGATCCTATGTGATTTGTACGACGGGCTTTATTTCTGCTATGACAAATTTCGTGAAATTCAACTTCAAACTGAATTTTGGAGACAAGCAGAGCGATGATGGGGACTGCGGAGGGTAGAGAGGGGATGTGGGCTCTAGTCCCCCTGCTTCTGTTCATGTGTGGAGGAGCGAGCATCTCAATGGCAAATCACCTCTCTTTGGTCTGGAAAAGAAAAAGGAAAAAAAAAAACTAAAAGTTTATTTAATAAAGGTTTTACTTGTTAACAGCGACTCTCTCTCCCCGTGTTTTCCCATGCGTGGCACATGGCAGAGCTGTGCTCCTTTTTGGGATTGAGTAATATTTCCATGTGTGAATACAGCATTTATTTTTTCTGAGCTGCTCATGGTGGCTACCCGTACTTAACCCCAGCAGTGAAGGGGACAGGGAGAGTAGGGGGAGACTCGGGAAGTAGAGGCAGTCGGATCTCTGAGTTCGAAGGTAGCAAGCCTGGCTACAGAGCCTGTTCCAGGGCAGCTAGGGCTACACAGAGAAACCCTGTTTGGAACACCCCTGTTCCCACCCCAACCCCCAGAAATTTTCTTCCTATTTATCCTTTCCTGGGCAGTTTTTCTGTCATTTGAAATGTGGCTCAGACATCTGTGGATACCAGAAAGTTTCTTTGTGGAATTGATTCATGTTTCATCTTAGTGATGGAGCTCCCTCTATCTCAGACAAATAAAACTGGGCCCTGCCTAGAATTCCCAAAGTGTGGAAGTGGATGGGGGGGCTGAGGGCGTGGTCAGGGGTGGAACCCCATCTAGAATCCCCAGTGAGAGGCTGGGGGCGTGGTCAGGGTGGAGTCCCGCCCAGAATCCTCAGGTGAGGGGCTGGGGGGCGAGCTCAGGGTGAAGCCCCCACCAGAAACACCAGTGATGTACATGGCTCAGACTGGTCATGTCAGGCAAGACTGCTTCTGATCTGCTGTGAAGAGCTCTGTGCTCGCTACATCTTCTTGACACCCTGAGTTTGAAGCCAGGTAAGAACCCCTCTAGGCTGCGGACACTCAGCAGCTGGAGATCATGAAACTATTTGCTCCCTTTGAAGAAAAGCTGATTCACTTGGCTGTGCCTGGAGCCTGCAGCAGAGGCAGTAGACAGAGCTGTGTATCTATCTGGGCGTCTTGCTGGAGCATTTATTGAGTGCCTCGTGTGCAGCGCACTGGTTTGGACCGGCTTGTGGAGGTCGTGTTAAAGCAAAAAATAATTATATCCAAAGTTTTTAGAGGGTTCCTTCCCTAAAATTGCAAAATCAACACCGCCTCCCCCAACTTCTGCAGCCCCTTTCTCCTAGCCTGCCCCCTTTCCACCTGGAGAAGTAAGTGTCCAGAACTGGCCTTCACAGGCTTCACTCAGCATTCACCCGTGGGAATGGTGTCATCAGGCCAAAATAAATGTCACCTGGGAGAGACTGGGACAGGAGGGTGGCAGGGCGCAGACCAGCCTGGGTGACATTCATTCTGAAAATAGAACAATAAAGTAGAAAAAAAATGAGACTAAATGAAAGAAAATAAGTAAGTAAATGTTAAAATAAATTTCAAAGTGAAATTAAAATGTGAAGCAAAACAAATTTCAAAAGTTAATGAACTAATTTTTAAGACAAATGGTGTGCACAATGCAGGTGCACATAGAGTGAGGTCACCGGTGGCCACGGACTGTGACTGTGATTCCTCCTGGCTACGAAACTTCTCTGACACCATCAGGGATAGGTAGAGGTCAGAGGTGAACATCCAGTGCCTTCCCCAGTTCACCCCACTCTTGTTTTTTGATGCTGGGTCTATCTGAGCCTGCAGTTCGTCAGTTAGCCCAGGCTGGCCTGAAAGCCCGAGTTCTCTGGCCTCTGCCTCCCATGGCCGCCACACCTGGGCTTTGATGTGGATGCTGGGGATTCGAACTGTGGACCTCATGGTCATGCTTCACCTGAGAACCCCCCCTCCCGAGTTCCTCCATCAGTCCCCCAAACCACATCCTACTGCCTCTGCCCCTCAGTCTGCTCAGCCAGAGGCAGGGTTCGGGGATCACCCTGACCTCCCCAACTCCTTCTGCATCGGGGAAACTGAGGCACCGGGTGTGTGAAGACTGGTAGGCCAGGACCGTGACCTTTCCCCATCTCCCGACCCCAGTCTCCTGCCCTCTTGGCTCCAGTCTGGAGTGACTTAGAGAGGGATGCCCACCAGATGTCAAGACAAATTACATTGGGGGCGGGGAGGAGGGACAGGTGTGTAGTTGTGGGGGTGGGTTATGACTGTGGGGGTGAGGCTGGGAGGGGATTGCAGCTTGGGGGGTGTGGGGCTGCAGGGGTGGTGTTGCAGCTGCAGGGAGGGTGAGGCTGGGGTAAGTCTGTGGAAGAGGGGGTGTGCAGCTGTGGGGAATGAGCTTGGACTCTGGGGGTTTGAGGTTTGGGGGTGTGGTAGTTGGTGGAGTGGGTGTGGTGTTGCTTGGGAGAGGTGAAGCAACTGGGGGGGGGAGGGTTGGGGGCACCCAGTGCCTTCCTCCAGGTTGCCAGCCCATGTGATATGGAAAGCCTCTGTGGTCACCAGTGGATTGTCCACTGTTGCAAAAACCTGTGCCACGACTTAGTCAGTCAACCA